CATATACTTTAAGTCACCTCTAGATGACTTATAATACCTAATAATATAGTGCAAATGATATTAATACATATAGAAGTTATATCGTATTTTTATTTGTGTTTTTTATTATACTGTTATTTGGGTGGGGGGTTCCCTGAGCATTTTTGAGCCATGGTTGGCTGAATAGGCAGATGCAGAACCCATGGGTATGGAGGGTTGCCTTAGAAAACTTGTCTCCCTGGCCAGGTGTGGTGGCTCACGCCTGTAATCCCAGCACTTTGGGAGGCCAAGGTGGGCAGCTCACAAGGTCAAGAGCTTGAGAACAGCCTGGCCAATATGGTGAAACCCCATCTCTACTAAAAATACAAAAATTAGCAGGGCGTGGTGGCGGGCGCCTGTATTCCCAGCTACTTGGGAGGCTGAGGCAGAAGAATCACTTGAACCTGGTAGGAAGAAGTTGCAGTGAGCCAAGATCGTGCCACTGCACTCCAGCCTGGGCAACAGAGTGAGGTTTCCAAAAAAAAAAAAAAAAAAAAAAAGATTGTTTCCCTAATAGAAATGCTAAATTATCTACAGCCCTACCACCCTAAACATGCCCAGAAGCTAAGCAGGGTCATGCCTGGTTAGTACTTAGATGGGAGAATGTTAAACCACTGAAAAATACATTTATCTGTACTTTTCCCTGAGTAGTTGGAGAGAGAAGGGAATTTTTTTTTCTTTTTTTTTTCCTGGCAACTTTCATTTAAAGAGAAAAGGGAATTATGCACATTTATTTAATGTTGATATATATATTCTAATTTCATATGACATTTAATGTGCTGCATACATAGGATATATAAAACTATGTGTTCTGGGCCAGGCGCGGTGGCTCAAGCCTGTAATCCCAGCACTTTGGGAGGCCGAGGCGGGTGGATCACGAGGTCAAGAGATCGAGACCATCCTGGTCAACATGGTGAAACCCCGTCGCTACTAAAAATACAAAACATTAGCTGGGCATGGTGGCTCATGCCTGTAACCCCAGCTACTCAGGAGGCTGAGGCAGGAGAATTGCTTAAACCCAGGAGGCGGAGGTTGCGGTGAGCCGAGATCGCGCCATTGCACTCCAGCCTGGGTAACAAGAGCGAAACTCCGTCTCAAAAAAAAAAAAAAAACTATGTGTTCTGGCCGGGCGCGGTGGCTCAAGCCTGTAATCCCAGCACTTTGGGAGGCCGAGGCGGGTGGATCACAAGGTCAAGAGATCGAGACCATCTTGGTCAACATGGTGAAACCCCGTCTCTACTAAAAATACAAAAAAAATAGCTGGGCATGGTGGTGCGTGCCTGTAATCCCAGCTACTCAGGAGGCTGAGGCAGGAGAATTGCCTGAACCCAGGAGGCGGAGGTTGCGGTGAGCCGAGATCGCGCCATTGCACTCCAGCCTGGGTAACAAGAGCGAAACTCCGTCTCAAAAAAAAAAAAAAAAAAAAAAAAACTATGTGTTCTAATTTCATATGACAAATACTGAGTTAGTAAATACATTTTAGGACACTTGGTTAAATTCAGAAGAAAGTCTTTGTTTTGTTTTTTTGAGACAGTTGTGCTCTTGTCACCTAGGCTGGAGTGCACTGGTGTGATCTCAGCTCACTGCCACCTTCATCTCCCAGGTTCAAGTGATTCTCCTGCCTCAGCCTCCCAAGTAGCTGGAATTACAGGTGTCCACCACCACACCCAGCTCATTTTTGTATTTTGCTAGAGTCAGGGTTTTGCCATGTTGGCCAGGCTGGTGTCAGTCAAACTCTTGACCTCAGGTGATCCACCTGCTTTGGCCTCCCAAAGTGCTGGGATTACAGGCATGAGCCACCACATCCAGTCAGAATTTTTTTTTTTTTTTTTTAACTAGAGACAGGGTTTCACTATGTTGGCCAGGCTGGTCTCGAGCTCCTAACCTCAGGTGATCCACCTGCCTCAGCGTCCCAAAGTGCTGGGATTACAGGCATGAGCCACTGAGCCTGGCCAGAAAATCTTTTAAGCATTGCTTTTTAAAATTTTTTTATATAAACACAAAAATTAGCTGGGTGTGGTGGCACACGCCTGTAGTCCCAGCTACCCGGAAGGCTGAGGCAGGAGAATCGCTTGAACCCAGGAGGCAGAGGTTGCAGTGAGCTGAGATTGCACCATTGTATTCTAGCCTAGCAACAGAGCAAGACTCTGTCTCAAAAACAAATAATAAATAATTTCAACTTACTTGAGAACAGGCTACGAGAGTGGCTAATTTTTGTATTTTTCTGGCAGAGATGGAATTTCACCAGATTGCCCAGGCTGATCTTGAACTCCTGGGCTCAAGTGATCTGCCCGTGTTAGCCTCCCAAAGTGCTGGGATTACAGGCATGAGCCACTGTGCCCAGCCTTCACCTTTTTTTTTTTTTAAATAGAGACGAGGTTTCACCGTATTGGTCAGGCTGGTCTCAAACTTCTGACCTCAGGTGATCCACCCACCTCGGCCTCCCAAAGTGGTGGGATTACAGTGTGAGCCACCATGCCCAGCTTTTTAAAAATTTATGTATGTATTTTATTTTTATAGTGTTAACTTGTATTTTAGATTGCAGATGAACGTGCAGATTCATTGCATAGGTACATTGCACGGTGGGGGGGTTTGGGGTCGTTGAATCCATTGCCCAGGTAGTGAGCATAGTACCTGATAGTTAACCCTTCCGCTAGCAACAGTCCCCCGTGTCTGCTGCTACTGTTGCCATCTTTATGTCCATGTTTACCCAATAAACACTGCTTCTTAAATTTTTTATTTTAATTTTTAAATTAATTATTTATTCATTGAGATGGAGTTTCGCTCTTGTTACCCAGGCTGGAGTGCAATGGCGCGATCTTGGCTCACCGCAACCTCCGCCTCCTGGGCTCAGGCAATTCTCCTGCCTCAGCCTCCTGAGTAGCTGGGATTACAGGCACGTGCCACCATGCCCAGCTAATTTTTGTATTTTTAGTAGAGACGGGGTTTCACCATGTTGACCAGGATGGTCTTGATCTCTTGACCTTGTGATTCAACCGCCTCGGCCTCCGAAAGTGCTGGGATTACAGGCGTGAGCCACCGTGCGCTGTCGCTTTTTTTATTTTTTTGAAAGAGGTCTCATTCTGGTGCCCAGGCTGGAGAACATGGCTCACTGCAATCTCAACCTCCTGGGCTCAAGCAGTCCTCCCACTTCAGCTTTCTGTGTAGCTAGGACCACAGATGCACACAACCATGCCCAGCATTTTTTTTTTTTTTTCTTTCTGTAGAGTCGGGGTCTCACGTTGTTGCCCAGGCTGGTCTTGAAGTCCTGAGCTCAAGCAATCCTCCCACCTTGGCCTTCCAAAGTGCTGGAATTACAGGTGTGAACCACCATGCCCAGCCCCAAACATTGCTTCTAGAAATGAAATTCCTAATCCACCTCTGTAGTGTAACATACCTGTACTTTGGCCATTGAATAAACTGGGGAAAAGAAGAGTTATGAACCAAAATGTCCATATTCATATATGGCCATTATCCCCAATGTGCACTTACTCTACAAACAGCTGTGTGTAGAGTGGATATTTTAGGTCCATATTTTCTTTTTTTTTTTTTTGAGACGGAGTTTCGCTCTTGTTACCCAGGCTGGAGTGCAATGGCACGATCTTGGCTCACCGCAACCTCCCCCTCCCGGGTTCAGGCAATTCTCCTGCCTCAGCCTCCTGAGTAGCTGGGATTACAGGCACGTGCCACCATGCCCAGCTAATTTTTTGTATTTTTAGTAGAGACGGGGTTTCGCCATGTTGACCAGGATGGTCTCGATCTCTCGACCTCGTGATCCACCCGCCTCGGCCTCCCAAAGTGCTGGGATTACAAGCTTGAGCCACCGCGCCCGGCCAGGTCCATATTTTAATATCTAGTCCTAGGTACTTTGAAGTGAAGATGTTTGTTACAAATTTTTGTTTTTTTCTTGAGACGGAGTCTTGCTCTGTCGCCAGGCTGGAGTGCAGTGGTGCAATCTCAGCTCACTGCAGCCTCCACCTCCTGGGTTCAAGCGATTCTCCTGCCTCACCCTCCTGAGTAGCAAGGATTACAGGCACCTGCCACCACACCCAGCTAATTTTGTATTTTTTAGTAGAGAAGGGGTTTTACCATGTTGGCTGGGTGGGTCTTAACTCCTGGCCTCCCAAAGTGCTGGGATTACAGGCGTGAGCCACCCCACCCAGCCATATTATTATTATTTCAGAAGCAGGGGCTAGCTATGCTGCCCAAGCTGGACTCAAGCAATCTTCTAGAATATCTGGGACTACATGCAGGCACCACAGCACCCTTCCAAAAATCTAAAAAATACATCCTGTAGAGGCCACGGGAGGGACAGTGGGGGAGGTATAATGTGGGGAAAAATGCCAGATATAGGTGACGGGGTGGGGGTAATGGAGGGAGCAAATCACCTTGCCACGTATGCACCTAAGCAACAATCCTGCATGATCTGCACATGTACCCCAGAACCTAAAGTACAATAAAAAAAAAATACATCCTGTAACAGTTCTGATAAATATCTTTTACCTTGTCTAATTTTTCTTTAGATGGAGTCTCTCAGGCTGGAATGCAGTGGCATGATCTCAGCTCACTGCAACCTCCGCCTCACTGCAACCTCGGCCTCTGGGGTTCAGGCAATCCTCCCACCTCAGCCTCCCAAGTAGCTGGGATTACAAGCCTGCACCACCATGCCCAGCTAATTTTTTTTTGTATTAGCAGAGACAGGGTTTTACCATGTTGACCAGTCTGGTCTTGAACTCCTGACCTCAAGTGATCCGCCCAAGTGCTGGGATTACAGGTATGAGCCACCACACCTGGCCTCTTTTACTTCATTCCTATGTCCACTTTTAGTAGTAAAATCCCAGAAGAGAATGTTGTTTTTAGGAGTATGTTTAACTAAAAAACTCCTGTTTCCTTTTACTTTTGGGCGATTCTTGACAGGAGGTAAGCAAACGAATGTTGCATGGTAAAGCCCCCCTGAAGTATCTCATACCTAAGCAAAGACCTCACATCATACTCTGTGGCTTTATTGCAGCTCATTCAAAACATCATCTGTGACTGCGGAAATCCCTATTGTCCTATCAGTCTAAAGAAACGACAGGACAGCGATGAGACTTCCAAGATACTCTAAGTTTAATCTTAGAGCCCCAGATAGTTCACATGCAGACTCCTCATGTTTGTTTGTTTTAAGAAAGACTGGTCCAAAGGCTCACATTTTCACAGCAGCTACAGTTTTTCAGTTCCAGGAACAGGTCAGGATGGGCGGCCCCGTGATCCGTAAAATCCAAGGGTGCCGGCTCCGAGTTAGGACCATTTCTTGGTGACGTTGAGATGGTCGAGCTGGTCCACAATGAATCTATGTGGGGGGAACTTGGAAGTGGCGGCGGCCTTTATGGCCTCGAAGGCCTCCTTCCTGCGCACCGCGGCGTGGCCGCGCTCCTGCTCCCGGGTCATGCAGGGCATGCTCAGCCAGTAGTGGTTCTCCGCTTCGATCTCCAGGCGGCGGATCATGTTCTCCTTGGCGCGCGACGACACGAACCGTGGCCGCCGGTGCTTCCCGATCCACTGACGGCCGGGAATGCGGCTGTGGCAGAGAAGCGCGGTCAGGAACATGGCGCCTGCGGAGGAGACAGACGGGCTTTACCGACGCAAACTGCGAGGCCGGGGCAGGACAGGGCAGCGGGCGCGCGCTCCGCCTCACGCCTACGGAGTTCCCGCACCGCCTCCCCTGCAGCTGAGGCCGGCAGGTGACGAAGGAGCGTGCCAGGGCACCGAATGAGCGCGGGGACTCACCAGCCGGGTAGGTCGCAAGCCCGCCTGTCCGCGGCCGCCGGCAGTGCCGGAAGCGCACCCGTCTCGCGCGGTCTTCTCCTAACTAGACGAGACTTCAGCTCTCGCGAGAGAGGACTGCGCCTGCGCAGAACCGGGGACGCGTCCGGCGCCGAGACATTCAAACTGGTGGCGGGAGGCTGTGAGGTCAGCGGCGGCGTCCGCGCACGTCTGGAGTCCTTCCCCGCTGAGCTCATCATGGACCCGATCCGGAACTTCTGCGGGAAGCTGCGGTCTCTGGCCAGCACGCTGGACTACGAGACGGCCCGGCTACAGCGAGCGCTGGACGGAGAGGAAAGCGGTGAGTGCGGCGGACGGCACGGGGTCGGTGCGTGGGGTGCGCCGCGGGAGGAGGGGCGTGGCAAGTGCGGAGGGTGTGCCCCGCGGAAACCGACTGACACTAACGGCGTGGACGGCCGCCACCGAGGCGTGGGGCGGCTGCTGCGCGTTTCAGCGCTCGGCGTCTGGCGTTAGCGTAGCTCCCGGGCCTGCCTACGGTTTGCTCCTAGGATCTCTTGTTGGTTTTCGTCCCGTGTCCAACCTCAGGGGTCTCCTGCGATGAAAGTAGCACTACTATGTTGTGAAGAGAGACAGCAGCACTTAAGAATTAGGAACCCTGCCGGGTGCGGTGGCTCAAGCCTGTAATCCCAGCACTTTGGGAGGCTGAGGCGGGTGGATCACGAGGTCAAGAGATCGAGACCATCCTGGTCAGCATGGTGAAACCCCGTCTCTACTAAAATACAAAAAATCAGCTGGGCATGGTGGCGTGTGCCTGTAATCCCAGCTACTCAGGAGGCTGAGGCAGGAGAATTGCCTGAACCCAGGAGGCGGAGGTTGCGGTGAGCCGAGATCGCGCCATTGCACTCCAGCCTGGGTAACGAGAGCGAAACTCCGTCTCAAAAAAAAAAAAAAAAAAAAAAAGAATTAGGAACCTAGGCTGACGGATCGAGTGCATAATACATATACTAATTTATACGTGATACGCTTTCGTCACATACAATATGTGTGCTTGTCAATAAAATACCATGTAAACCTAAACAACTTCCCTTAGAATCCAGCCACTTGACGTTGTTCTTTACACGATACTTTACTCATAGAGTGACATTTTTTCTCACCCAAGTGGTCCACAGTTGCAGTAAAGTCTGTTTTTTCCACTAAACCGTATTACCGACGTAAACACTAGTACCCAACAGTGCTGGGGGTTAAAAAAATACATGTATATAAATAAAGCAAAATTCACCATTCGCTTTTTTTTTGAGGTGGAGTTTTGCTCTTGTTGCCCAGCCTGGAGTGCAATGGTGCAATCTTGGCTCACTGCAACCTCCGCCTCACGGGTTCAAGCGATTATCTTGCCTCAGCCTCCCAAATAGCTGGGATTACAGACATGCACCACCACGCCCAGCTAATGTTTTGTATTTTTAGTACAGATGGGGTTTCACCATGTTGACCAGGATGGTCTCGATCTCTTGACCTCGTGATCCACCCGCCTCGGCCTCCCAAAGTGCTGGGTTACACACGTGAGCCACCGTGCTTGGCCTCTACTTTCTAACTCTATAGATTTGCCTATTCTGGACATGTCATATAAGTGGAATTGTAGAATTTGTAGTCTTGTGATTAACTTATTTCACTTAGTGTAATGTTTCGATGTTCCTCCATGTTATAACGTTCTATTGCTGAGTATATTCTATTGTATGTTTTTGTTATTCACTAGCTGATCGACATTTTGAGCTGTTTCTACTTTTTGGCTATTATGAATAATGCTGCTGAAAATATCTGTGTGTAAGTTTGTGTGTGAATGTGTTTTTAATTCTCTTGGGCATGTACTAGAGGTGGAGTTGCTGGGTCATATGGTTTAACTTTTTGAGGACTGGCCAAATTGTTTTCCAGAGTGTCTGCACTGTTTTACATTTGCACTGACAGTGAATAAGGGTTGCAGTTTCTCCCTGTCCTCACCAACATCTATTATTATCTGTCTTTTTTGATGCAGTTCTTCTAGTAGGTATGGAGTGGAATCTCATCGTAGTTTTGATTTGCATTTCCCTAATAAAAAGTGGTCAGATTTAACCGGTGGAAGGAGAAGGAGATCTTCAAAGGAGATGTGTTTTAGAAAAGAGACATATAACCCTTTTAAAAAACTACCTTTAGGCCAGGTGTGGTGGCTCACGCCTGTAATCCCAGCACTTTTCTGGGCTGAGGTGGGCAGATCCCTTAAGGCCAGAAGTTTGAGACCAGCCTCGCCAACATGGCGAAATCTCATTTCCAAAATTTGCTGGATGTGGTGGTGCACACCTGTAATCCCAGCTACTGGGGGTGGGGGTGCTGAGGCAGGAGAATCACTTGAACCTGGGAGGCTGTGGTTGCAGTGAGCTGAGATCTCTGCATTCCATCCTGGCCTACAGAGTGACACTCTGTTTCAAAAAGAAACAAAAAATAACTCCACTACTTTTAAATTAGCTGGGTGTGGTGGTTGTATGCCTGTAGTCCCCAGCTACTTGGGAGTCTGAGATGGTAGGATTGCTTGAGTCCAGAAAGTCAAGGCTGCAGTGAGCTGTGATTGCACCACTGTACTCTAGCCTGGGTGGCAGAGTGAGACCGTGTCAAAAAAAATTAAACAAAAAAAACCTACTTTTACATCATATGTAACACTAACTGATTAATAACAAAGGTGACATACAGTGGGTAAACGATGCCTTTCGGTAAGTTGTGCCAGGTCAGTTGAATATCCATACAGAACATAAGAGTGGATCTTGATTCTTACCACATGCCATATACGGAAATAAATTCCAGATAGGTATAGTTCTAAATGCAAAAGTTAAAACCATAAAGCTTTAGAAGAAAATATGAGAGAGATGTATATCTTGTCATTGGCAAAGGTTTAAAAAATAGAAACCAAAAAGTGCTTGTCATAAGGGAAAGAAATGGATAAGTAGGACTGCATTAAAATTAAACGATTCACACCTGGAATCCCAAGCACTTTGGGAGGCCAGGGCAGGTGGATCACCTGAGGTCAGGAGTTCAAGACCAGCCTGGGCAACATGGTGAAACCTCGTATCTACTAAAAATACAAAAAAAAAAAATTAGCTGGATGTAGTAGGTGGTGCCTGTAATCTCAGCTACTTGGAGGCTGATGCAGGAGAATCGCTTGAACCCTGGAGACAAAGGTTACAGTGAGCCAAGATCATGCCACTGCACTCCAGCCCGGGCAACAGAGTGAGACTCCATTTCAGAAAAAAAAAAAAAAAGTTATCTTCAGATGGCCATTAGGAATGTGAAAATATATCAGTTTCATTAGTCATCAAGGAAATGCAAATTAAATTCCAATACAGTACAGTTGCATACCCACCAGCGTAGCTAAAATGAAAAAGAGAAAATTACCAAGTGTTTGCAAAAATGTGGAACAATTGCACTTTTTATGCACTGCCAGTTAGAATGCAAACTGTAACAGTCATGTTGGAAAACTAGCAGTATTTACTGGAGTTGAACGTATATGTAACATATAATCCAGCACTTTTTCTAGGTCTCTAACATACAGAAACATGAATACATTGGTACCAAAGACATGCTCTAGAAAGTTCAAAGCAAGAGTATTCATAATAGTTCCAAACTAGGCACAATCCAACGTGTTTCAACAATAGAATAGATAAATAAATTTGGTATCATGCAGTGGAAATACTATACAGTAATGAACGCGGATGGATTAGATTATGTATGAACTTGGAAGACTGTAACAAACAGAGCTGAGTGTAAGAAGCCAATCACAAAAGAATACATATTATAGCATGAGTCCATTAAATCACGTTCCCAAGTGGCAAAACTACTTCATGGTGTTAAAAATCAAGGTAAAGTGGCTGGTTGCACTAGCTCACGCCTCTACTCACAGCACTTTGGGAGGCAAAGGTGGGTGGATCATGAGGTCAGGAGTTTGAGACCAGCCTGGCCAATATGGTGAAACCCTGTCTCTGCTAAAAATGCAAAAATTAGCCAGGCCTAGTGGTGGGGTAGTCCCAGCTAGTTGGGAAGCTGAGGCAGGAGAATCGCCCGAACCCGGTAGGCGGAGGTTGCAGTGGGCAGAGATTACGCCATTGTATTCCAGTTTGGGCAACAAGAGTGAAACTCCATCTCAAAAAAAAAAAAAAAAAGAAAGAAAAATCAGGATAAGAGTTACCCTTAGTGGGAAGGGAGAGACTCTAAGAGGGCTTCTAGAGTTCAAATTAGGCTCTATTTCTTTAGCTGAGGGCCGGTTGGTTATGCAGGTATGATCATTTTATAAAGTTCATTAAGCTAGGATTTGTATGCTTTCAGTATATATGTTATACAGTCATGTTACTTAATTGGGATGTGTTCTGAGCAACGTTAGGCAATTTTGTTATTGTGCGAACATCATAGAGCTATGTAACACCAATGTAGATTATATGACCTACTGCATACCTAGGCTATATGGTATAGCCTATTGCTCCTAGGCTACAAACCTGTATAGCATGCGACTGTACTGAATGCTATAAGCTTATGGTAAGTATCTGAACATACAAAAAGTAAAGTAAAAAATATGGTATTATCTTATGGTACCACGATCATATTTGTGATTTGCCATTGACCAAAATGTCATTATAAGGTACATGATTGTATACTAAGTGTTCTTTTTCTTCCTCCTTTTCCTTACATTTGTTGGACTTTTTTCTTTCAATATTGCTATTGAAGACTTTGAAGATTATCCATTGAGAATTTTATATGACCTTCATTCAGAAGTTCAGACTCTAAAGGTATCAGTCCTACAATATTATCATTTTTCTGTGGCAAGTAATTTTTTTATCCTAAATAGATTTAGTCAGAAGTTACAGAAATTATAATATACTTTGTTTATTCATAAAAGGATGATGTTAATATTCTTCTTGATGAAGCAAGATTGGAAAGTCAAGAAAGCATTGATTTCATGAAGGCAACAAAAATACTAATGGAAAAAAATTCAGTGGATATTATGAAAATAAGGGAGTATTTCCAGAAGTATGGATATAGTCCACGTGTCAAGAAAAATTCAGGTTTGAATAACTTCATTTTATAGCATTTGTTTTAGTATTGAAGAAACGAGGCTGCACGATTAACTAAAAACAGTAAGCTTGGCCATGGTTTTTAGCTCTAGCTCTGTTGTTATCTGATGCTTATTTGATAAATGTTTGTTCAGCTCTCACTGTGTGGTGTGCTGGGTGCAGTGCTAATCAGGGATGTAGTGTAAAGACAGTCCTTGCTCTGTCTTCCAAAATGCAAAATGAAAACTAGCACAATGCTAGGTGAAAGTTCTTTGGCCTATTTAAATGAAAAAGTACAAGATCAATCTTCATGACTTAGGATAGGTGGTTTCTACTTAGCTCTGCCAATAAAAGCTAAGAGACTTCAAGGCATGTTATTTCATTTTTCTTATTCACAATGTTCTCTCCCTTAGAAAGATACTGGCTATAAAATTTGATGAAGTCTTTTTTTGTTTCTAAAATTTTGATGAAGTGTATCATAGTGGTTTAGAATTCGGAGCCAAAATGCCTGAGTTCAAATCTGTATTCCACCACTTAATAGCTGCATTATCGTCAAGCTGTATCTTTGTCAAGTTAGTTAACCTTGTGCCTCAGTTTCTGTAAAGTGGGAATGTTTAGTATATCTATCTCATGAGATTGTATAGGGATTAAATAAGATAAAGTTTGCTTAGAGCAGTTTCTAGCATGCCAGTCAACCAAGATTAACTGTTAACAGTTGTTACTATGCTCATACCTCTGAATGACTAACCTCAGTGTCTTCATTTCTTTTATTAAATTGAACAAGTGAGGCCAGGCATGTTGGTTCACACCTGTAATCCCAGCACTTTGGGAAGCTGAGGCGGGATGATCACGAGGTCAGGAGATCAAGACCATCCTGGCTAACACCGTGAAACCTCGTCTCTACCAAAAAAATACAAAAAATTAGCCAGGCATGGTGGCACGCACCTGTAGTCCCAGCTACTCTGGAGGCTGAGGCAGGAGAAACAATTGAACCCTAAAGGTGGAGGTTGCAGTGAGCTGAGATGGTGCCACTGCACTCTAGCCTGGGTGACAGAGCAAGACTCCATCTCAAAAAAAAAAAAAAAAAGGCCGGGCGCGGTGGCTCAAGCCTGTAATCCCAGCACTTTGGGAGGCCGAGGCGGGTGGATCACGAGGTCGAGAGATCGAGACCATCTTGGTCAACATAGTGAAACCCCGTCTCTACTAAAAATACAAAAAACTAGCTGGGCGTGGTGGCGCGTGCCTGTAATCCCAGCTACTTAGGAGGCTGAGGCAGGAGAATTGCCTGAGCCCAGGAGGCAGAGGTTGTGGTGAGCCGAGATCACGCCATTGCACTCCAGCCTGGGTAACGAGAGCGAAACTCCGTCTCAAAAAAAAAAAAAAAAAAGCTTGTATTGTAATCCCAGCACTTTGGGAGGCTGAGGTGGGCGGATCATGAGGTCAGGAGTTCGAGACCAGCCTGACCAACATGGTGAAACCCCGTCTCTACTAATAATACAAAAATTAGCCGGGTGTGGTGGTGCATGCCTATAATCCCAGCTACTCAGGAGGCTGAGGCAGGAGAACTGCTTGAACCCAGGAGGCAGAGGCAGTGAGCTGAGATCATGCCATTGTACTCTAACTTGGGCAACAGAGTGAGGTTCTGTCTTAAAAAAAAGTTTAAGCTGGGTGCGGTGGCTCGCTCCTGTAATCCTAGCACTTTGGGAGGCCGAGGTGGGTGGATCACCTGAGGTCAGGAGTTCAAGACCAGCCTGACCAACATGGTGAAACCCCATCTTATAAAAAAAAATTTTAAATAAAATAAATTGAACAAATATATATTGAAGATGTGTGTGGCAGGTAAGTAAAACAGTCCACGTGAGATGGGCACAGTGGCTCATGCCTGTTATCTGAGCATTGTGAGACACTGAGGCAGGAGGATCACTTGAGGCCAGGAGTTTGAGACCAGCCCGGGCTACATAGTGAGACTCTGCCTGTATAAATGTTTTTTTGGGTTTTTTGTTTTGTTTTGTTTTTTTGGGTTTTTTTTTTTTACAAAATTAACTGGGCCTGGTGGTGTACACTTGGAGTCCTAGCTATTTTGGAAGCTGAGACAGAAAGGATACCTTAAGCCCAGGAGTTCAAGGCTGCAGTGAGCTACTATCACACCACTGAACTCCAGCCCACATGAAAGAGTGAGACCCTGTCTCAATAAATAAGTAAAATACATACCTACATACCTACATACAAACAACCCACACCACCACTACCCCCTACATGGTCTCATAGAATTCAGTTGATTTTGGTGTGAAAGAGCCACAGATTCAAGTACTCGCGCCACCAGTTATTAAATGTGTGACCTTGAGTAATTTCTCTAAGTTGCTTTTTCCTCACTTATAAGATGGGGATGATAATATCTCCCTGAGGAATAGTGATAATGATGATTTATTAATCACATAAATGATAGCCCTGTAATAAATACATCAGTAGGTTTTTGGCAACTCTTGTACCATTTCTCAAAATTTACAGAAAGCATAATGCCAAAACAACTCAATCAGAAGCTATTCCAAGGACCAAAAACTATGAAATCAAAGTATAACGCTTAAGAGATTTAAACTCAAGACTTTTAAAACAAAACAAACAAGAAAGTAACCAGCCGGGTGCAGTGGCTCAGGCCTGTAACCACAGCAAGTACTGGGAGGCCAAGGTGGGCGGATCACCTGAGATCAGGAGTTTGAAACCATCCTGGCCAGCATGGTGAAAATACATGCTGTCACTACTAAAAATACAAAAATTAGCTAGGTATGATGGTGCATGCCTGTAATCCCAGCTACTTGGGAGGCACAGACAGGAGAATCGCTTGAACCCGGAGGCAGAGGTTGTGGTGAGCCAAGATTCCATTACTGCACTCCAGCCTAGGTGACAGAGCACAACTCCATCTCAAAAAAAAAAAAAAAAAAAAAGTAACAGCCTATTAGTGGTTGGGAAACTGTATATCTTTGAAATGTTCTCCTATTATTTTTCTCAACTAGGTGTTTGATATAGGTGTTCCAGACTGACTTAGGATAAAAACTTATCTTTGTATAAGAGTCTTTGCTTTTGCTTTTTAGCTTAGGCATCTGCAAGTTATAAATCTAAAATAATATTATACTTGGTGTTAAATCTAGAACACAGTTGATTCCATACTGTCATTCAATTTTAAAATATAGTTTCAGGCCAGGTACAGTGGCCCATGCCTGTAATTCCAACACTTTGGGAGGCCCAGGCGAACAGATCACTTGAGCCTAGGAGTTCAAGACTAGCCTGGGCAACATGGTGAAACTCTATTTCTACAAAAAGTACAAAAAAATTAATTAGCTGCCTGGGAGGCTCAGGTAGGAGGATCATGTGATCCCAGTGTTGTGGGTGTGACTACTTGGGGCTAGTGTAAAGGAATTTACCAAGACAGTTGTAGGTAGAGAAAGGCAGATTTATTAGAGAACATATGGAAATACATTGCAAGGTTGCAATGGGCAGTACAGCAGAGAAGGGGCCATCTACAAAGAGGCAGAGGCTGAAGGGAAGTTTTATAGGGTCATGCTGGAGGCAGGCTAGGTACAGAACAAGGTTGTGGCCGGGCATGGTGGCGCACATGTGTAATCCCAGCACTTTGCGAGGCCAAGGTGGGCGGACCACTTAAGCTCAGGAGTTCTAGACCAGCCTGGGCAACATGGTGAAACCCCATCTCTACCAAAAATATGAAAACTTAGCTGGGCTTGGTGATGCGTGCCTGTAGTCCCAGCTTCAGAGGTTGAGGCTGCAGTGAGCCAAGATTGCCACTGCACTCCAGCCTGAGGGACAGAGTGACACCCTGACTCAAAAAAAAAACAAAAAACAAAAAAAAAAAAACAAGGTTATGCCTACAGGTTGTTTGATTAGCCTTTTCTCAGAACAATTGTTCATTGTTCTCCCCAACCTGGGGCACTCCCCCATTGTTGCTTACTATCTGTGATTGTGCCACTGCACTCCAGCCTGGGAAGTCCAAAAAAAAAAGCAACAGAAAATACATTCTGATGATCACTAAAGTCTGAGCAAAGAAAAAAAAAAGAGAAAGAATATTAAGAAAAATTAGTAAATCACATTAAGGATGTAAGGAAATTGGACTTTTATTTGTGGATATTAATTTTTCATCTTGTAACACTTTAACTTGCTTTCTCTAATATATAATCATAGTGGGATATGGGTGCACAAGAGATACATGTCAGAACTTTATTAAAGGGACAATTGAAATAATTATTTCAGCTGAGCATGGTAGCTCATGCCTGAAATCCCATCACTTTGAGGGGCCAAGGCAAGAGGGTCACTTGAACCCAGGATTTTGACTCCCGCCTGGGCAACATGATGAGACCCCCATTTACACACACACACACACACACACACACACACACACACAAATTAAAAATTAGCTGAGCATGGTAGCACAGCCAGTTACCCCAGGGGCTGAGATGGGACGATCACTTGAGACCAGGGGGTCGAGGCTGCCGGGAGCTGTGATCATACCTTTGTACTCCAGCCTGGGTGGCAGAACTTTGGTTCATTTGGGAAATTTCAGATAAGCTATTTTCGTTGCTTTTGTAGACATGAAATTTTCTATTTTGGTGTTTGACCAGAATATTCTGACTTTTCCTCCTAGTGCACGAACAAGAAGCCATTAACTCTGACACAGAGTTGTCTAATTGTGAAAATTTTCAGGAGCCTGATGTCAACAATGATGTGAACAGTTCTGATCCTCCTGTAGCAAGCAGTTGTATTTCTGAGAAGTCTCCACGTAGTCCACAACTTTCAGATTTTGGACTTGAGCGGTACATGGTATCCCAAGTTCTACCAAACCTTCCACAGTCAATGAACAACTATAAGGAAGAGCCCGTAATTTTAACTCCGCCTACCAAAGAGTCACTAGTAAAAGTACTAAAAACTCCAAAATGTGCACTAAAAATGGATGACTTTGAGTGTGTGACTCCTAAATTAGAACACTTTGGTATCTCTGAATATACTATGTGTTTAAACGAAGATTACACAGTGGGACTTAAAAATGTGAGGAATAATAAAAGGTAAGCAGCTCTGTTAAAAGGCAAATTTTATCTAGTGTTCTAAATCTTTTGTATTGGTCTTTTCCCAGAAGAAATATGTTTTAGACAACATTTTTTCTTTAAAAAGTTTTCAGACACTTACTTATTTTATTTCAGTAGGTTTTAGGGGAACAGGTGGTGTTTGGTTACATCAGTAAGTTCTTTAGTGGTGACATTTTCAGGTACTTTATATTACAAACCGTGAATCACCAATACTATCAGTAAAGTGTGAGCTCTTGGTTTCTTCAGGTGAGAGACTAGAGAAGGAGTGATAAAGGCCTGAAAAAAGATGGTATGGAACATAACTCACCAAATTGATTACCATGAGTAGTCAACAAGTCCCAGTGGATGTAACTAGCCAGAGATTCTCCTCTCATTTAAGTGGGAAAGTTAGACAGTTCCCCTCTGATTCAGCTGACCCCTGTCCCGGGATGGGAAGGAAGGACGACATTGAGAATAATACCAAGTCACTGCTAGATCCAGGATTCCACCAAAACTTCCATCCAGTTACACCGAGTTTGGTCTTCTTAACGCTATCTTTTTGATGGATTACACGAAGCACTAAAATAAGTTGGTGTGAATGACAGAAGTGCCATAACTGTGGGAAAGCAGTCGTTGGCACCTTTACTTTTCAAGAAATCATTGACGGACCAGGACAAAGTTACGTGGATGGAAATGGCATCAATACTTCCTCACTACTGTGATTTGCTGATAGGGATGGTAATCGGGTCAAGTGACAAGGTCCGATCCAACAGCATTCAGATCCAGAAGCGATTGCATGGGACGATGGTGGCGCTTGGCGGAGCACCTGATGGCGAAGGTGCAAATCTGCTGGTTGCTCATAATGCTGGACCTGCGATAGATTGGATCAGCAGCCAATCCTGGGTTGGAGAGCTTGCTTGTCTTTGCATTTCTATTCAAAAAATTTGAATCACCGGGAAAGAGCTATTAGACCAAGTTAAGCCTGTTGCCGCTGGAGCTCGGATGACTATAGTCTTCACAGTACAAGCTTATCTGGAGCAGTGCATGGATCGAACACCTGTGATACCCTCAGTTCTTTCAGATATAGTAGAGATTGAGCAAAGAATTACCAGCGCAAAAAACAAAATGGGAGATCTATTCAAGCTTGCTGGAGCACTGCGTCACCCTATAGTGTTGAAAAGCCTTCCGTGAATGTTTTCTGAACCTTGCTACTGAGGCTAATTACTGGATCAAAAGAACCAATCTACATTTACAGGGTTCAATGCTCCCAACGTAATACCAGGATCAAGCCTCTCATTGACACTCTTAAAAATGGCAGCCCAGAGATGCATTAAAAGAGGAGATGCAGGAGGCCAGATGGATGGTCACACCCTCGCCGTATTAAGTTGTTATGGAGTTAGCGGCTATGATTGAACATCTATTGAAAAAAAAGAGAAAAAGATGGTATTTGTAGGGATAGAGAAGAGGGGATAAAATTAAAGGGGCAAAATTCGTAAGGACTTGTGATTGCTTTGCCATGGAGACTTGGGGAAAGAGGATGATCTAGGATAAACCCCAAGTTTCCGTTTTGTTGCTTGGGATGATGTTAGGGAGAACAAGAAAAGAATACCTGGAGTGTGGAGGGATAGGTGGTGCGTTTCCATGTTGACTTTCACATTGTTAGTGCCTCTTCATGCTTAGGCATTTTAATCAGTTTAAAGTTCAGTGAAGGATTAAGCGCTAGACTAGATTTGGGAGTCATTAGCATGGAAATGGTAATTAAAACCATGAGAGTTATAATGGGGGGGGGGGCACGGTGGCTCACACCTGTAATCCCAACACTTTTGGAGGCCGAGGCAGGCAGATCACAAGGTCAGGAGTTCGAGACCAGCTCGGCCAATATGGTGAACCCTCATCTCTACTAAAAATGCAAAAATCAGCCAGGCCTGGTGGCGGGTGCCTATAGTCCCAGCTATTCAGTAAGCTGAGGCAGCAGAATCACTTGAACCTGAGAGGCAGAGGTTGTAGTAAGCGGAGATAGAGCAACTGCACTCCAGGCTGGGCAACAGAGTAAGACTTGGTCTCAAAAAATAACGTTACAACATTACAATGAAAATACCACTTACCAAAGTAGCCAAGCAGTATCTGAAGATAAATACTTATTAAATACTGTTACTATTAATGAAGGAAAATAAACATATCTATCAAAGAGTCAGAAATAAAAAACCCACAGCTGGGGAAAAGAAACACTAAAGATAAAATTTTAATCCAAAAGATTTTTTTTCTTTTTTTTTGGGCTGTAGTACAGCGGCGCAATCTCAGCTCACTGCAACCTGCACCACCTGGGTTCAAACTCTTCTGTCCCAGCCTCCCTAGTAGATGGGACTACAGGCATGTGCCACCACGCCCAGCTAATTTTTGTATTTTTCTCTTGACCTCGTGATCCACTCACCTCAGCCTCCCAGAGTGCTGGGATTACAGGTGTGAGCACCCGGCCTAACGTCGTTCTTGATGCTCTGGCCAGTGTAATGAGATAGGAAATAAGTATTTCTGTGTTGCACTTCTAGCCATTTTGTACCAAAGCAACTCAAGAAAATCACATGAAAAACTTGTAGAAGTATTAAAATTCAAGAAAGAGGCTGATAGAAGATATGTATTTTATATAGTTACATAAGGCAACTCTTTCTTTCTTTACAAATTTATTTTTAGAGACAGGTTCTCAGTCTGTCACCCAGGTTGGAGTGCAGAGGCATGGTCGTAGCTCACTGCAGCTTCGACTTCCTGGACTCAATCAGTCCTCCTACCTCAGCTTCCTAAGTAGGTGGGACTACAGATGTACACCACCATGCCTGCCTAATTTTTTAAAAATAATTTTCTGTAGAGACAGGGTCTCACTATGTTGCCCAGGTTAGTCTCTTAAGTCCTGGCCTCAAGTGATCCTGAAGCTATTTTTAGAAGTAAAGATGATTCAGTAAATTATACAGGAACAGTTAACTGTTTGGAAAAAAATCAAGTAGTCTCTGCCTCAAGTCAACATGAAATATAGATGGATCAAAAAGAAAAATATTTAGTTAAATCATTTACAAAGTAAAAGAAAATATAGACAAATCCGTTTAAATAGTGGAAGAGTATACTTTAACTACCAATATGTTCGTAATTACAAGAAACTTGTCAATTAATTGACATGATTAGACAGTTTAACAATATTTGTTTATTCAGAAATATGGACGGGCACATGAGTCAGGCACAGTGGTTTATGCCTTAGTCCCATCTGCTTGGGAGGCTGAGGTGGGAGAATCACATGAGCTCAGGAGTTTGAAATCAGCCTAAGCAACATAGCTAGATTCCACCTCTAAAAAGATAAAATAAATAGAATGGAACATGAAACATATAAAGGGTAAAAGCTAAACCAAGAAAATAGTTGCATTGAGGGCCATTACACACATGCTGATAAGAAACCACGAACACACCAAAAGCTACCTAGGTAATGGACAGGAATTGATAGGACTAATAATTATTTTAAAAACAGCTTTGTCTATTAAAAAACTACAAAGCATATTTGTTTTAACTGTTAGAAGAGTAAAGTGAAACGTGTGTTCATGTATCATTGTTGGGAATGTTTCATGGAAAGAGTTGATTCTTAAATGTTTAATATCTTTTACCTAGTCATTTTACCTCCAGGAAAACTTGACAAACATTTTGGCACAGCAATATTTATTACAGCCTTATTTTAAATGGGGAAAATTGGAAATAACCAAAATATCTACAGTAGAAAGTATTTAAATTATGGTGTGACACTAAAGTCAGAAATCATACTAAAGAATATGGATAGATTTGATCACATACAGAATTTAAACCACTGTATCATAAAATACTTGACCAATGACAAAGCAGGAGACGTTTTGCAGCATGATAAATAGATGTGCATATATGTGTTATATATATACGTAATATGTTTTAAAAACCCATATACACTAATAAGTGAAAGGCATCCCATTTTTTTTTTTTTTTTTTGAGACGGAGTTTCGCTCTTGTTACCCAGGCTGGAGTGCAATGGCGCGATCTCGGCTCACCGCAACCTCCGCCTCCTGGGTTCAGGCAATTCTCCTGCCTCAGCCGCCTGAGTAGCTGGGATTACAGGCACGTGCCACCATGCCCAGTTGATTTTTTTTGTATTTTTAGTAGAGGCGGGGTTTCACCATGTTGACCAGGATGGTCTTGATCTCTTGACCTCGTGAACTACCCACCTCGGCCTCCCAAAGTGCTGGGATTACAGGCTTGAGCCACCGCGCCAAAGTTTTTTGTTTTTTTTTTTGAGACGGAGTTTTGCTCTTGTTGCCCAGGCTGGAGTGCAATGGCGCTATCTCGGCTCACCGCAACCTCCGCCTCCTGGGTTCAAGCAATTCTCCTGCCTCAGCCTCCTGAGTAGCTGGGATTACAGGCACACACCACCATGCCCAGCTAATTTTTGTATTTTTAGTAGAGACGGGGTTTCACTGTGTTGACCAGGATGGTCTCGATCTCTCGACCTCGTGATCCACCCGCCTCGGCCTCCCAAAGTGCTGGGATTACAGGCTTGAGCCATCGCGCCCGGCCGGCATCCCAATTTTTAAAATAAGCAAAGACATGAATTAACAAAAGAAGAGGCCAGCTTCACTGGCTCACACCTGTAATTCCAGCATTTTGGGAGGCCAAGGTGGGTGGATCACTTGAAGTCAGGAGTTTGAGACCAGCCTGGCCAACATGGTGAAACCCTGTATCTATTAAAAATACAAACATCAGCTGGGCATGGTGGTGTGAGCCTGTAGTCCCAGCTACTGGGGAGGCTGAGGCAGGAGAATCACAGGAACCTGGGAGGTTGTGCCACTGCACTCCAGCCTGGTGACAGAGCAAGACTCCGTCTCTTAAAAAAAAAAAAAAAAAAAAAATACAGTTGACCAATAAGCATACGTATACTTTTAGCTTTGCAGGTAATGAGGGAAATGCAAATGAAAAATGAAATGTTGGGCCGGGTGCGGTGGCTCAAGGCTGTAATCCCAGCACTTTGGGAGGCCGAGGCGGGTGGATCACAAGGTCAAGAGATCGAGACCATCCTGGTCAACGTGGTGAAACCCCGTCTCTACTAAAAATACAAAAAATTAGCTGGGCATGCTGGCACGTGCCTGTAATCCCAGCTACTCAGGAGGCTGAGGCAGGAGAATTGCCTGAACCCAGGAGGCGGAGGTTGCGGTGAGCTGAGATCGCGCCATTGCACTCCAGCCTGGGTAACAAGAGCCAAACTCCGTCTAAAAAAAAAAAAAAGAAAAATGAAATGTCGTTTTTCAACTATCCAGACGCAAGTTTTTATTTCCAGGTTTTAACCAGGCTTGTTAAGAGAGTGAATACCAATAAAATACAGGTTATATTGAGTGTTGATTAAAAAAACTGCTTTTTTTTGAGATGGAGTCTTGCTGTGTCACCCAGGCTGGAGTGCAGTGGCACGATCTCTGCTCACTGCAACCTCCGCTTCCTGGGTTCAAACAATCCTTCTGCTTCAGCCTCCTGAGTAGCTGGGATTACAGGTGCCTGGCTAATTTTTATATATTATTTATTTATTTATTTTTCCTTTTTTTTTTAAGGACGGGGTTTCACCATGTTGGTCAGGCTGGTTTTGAACTCTCGACCTCAGGTGATCCACCCGCCTTGGCTTCCAAAGTGCTTGGATTACAGGCATGAGCCACCGCACCTGGCCCTAATTTATATATATATATATATATATATATATATATATATATATATGTGTGTGTGTGTATATATATATATATTTTTATTTTATTTTATTTTATTTTTATTTTTTTGAGATGGAGTTTCTCTCTTGTTACCCAGGCTGGAGTGCAATGGCACGTTCTTGGCTCACCGCAACCTCCGCCTCCTGGGTTCAGGCAATTCTCCTGCCTCAGCCTCCCGAGTAGCGGGGACTACAGGTGCGCGCCACCATGCCCAGCTAATTTTTGTATTTTTAGTAGAGACGGGGTTTCACCTTGTTGACCAGGATGGTCTCGATCTCTTGACCTCGTGATCCACCCGCCTCGGCCTCATGAGCTACCACACCTGGCCTAAATTTTATATTTTTGGTGAAGATGGGGTTTCACTATCTTGGCCAGGCTGGTCTTGAACTCCTGCCCTCGCGATCCACCTGCCTCAGCCTCCCAAGGTGCTGGGATTACAGGCGTGAGCTACTGTGCTTGGCCAGAAAATGCTTTTATAATGGTAGCCATTGGTGAATCTTTCTAAGGGAAAAATGTCAGTGTGTATAAAAGGTTTTATGAACTTTTACTTAACGAATTCAAGGAAAATAAAGTGTGCAATTGTATGTATATATAACACTGATTTCATTTATAGTTCAGAAGAACAAAATATTAAGAGTTCACAAATAAGTAAGGTACTAAGCAAATCTAGACAGAAATTTGCCTCTGCAGGGGAGAGACAGGTACCAGGTTGGGAAGCTTCCATAGAGGACTACACAGGTACTAGCAGCAGTCTTTCCTTTTTTTTTTTTCCTTTTTAAAGATAGCATCTCACTTTCCTATTTTATTTATTTTTTTTCCCAATTTTTCCCTATTGTAAATAAGCTGCAATAAATACTACTGTGCCAAAATGTTTGTTGAGTTTTCCTAGGGGTAAAATGACTGGGTAAAAGGTTTTAGATATTTAAAAACCAACTCTTTACATGAAACATTCCCAACAACACCCAGGCTTCACCACAGCCACGAACTGGGTTCAAGTGGTTCTCCTACCCCAGCCTCCTTTGTAGCTGAGGCTACAGGTATGCATCACAATGCCCAGCTAATTTTAATTTTTTTTTTTTTTTTTTTTTTTTTTGAGATGGAGTTTTGCTCTTGTTACCCAGGCTGGAGTGCAATGGCGCGATCTCGGCTCACCGCAACCTCCGCCTCCTGGGTTCAGGCAATTCTCCTGCCTCAGCCTCCTGAGTAGCTGGGATTATAGGCACGCGCCACCATGCCCAGCTAATTTTTTGTATTTTTAGTAGAGACGGGGTTTCAACATGTTGACCAGGTTGGTCTCGATCTCTTGACCTTGTGATCCACCCGCCTCGGCCTCCCAAAGTGCTGGGATTACAGGCTTGAGCCACCGCGCCCGGCCTTAATTTTAATTTTTTAATATATTTTGTAGAGATGGGGTTTTGCTATGTGGCGCAGCCTGATCTCCAATTCCTAGCCTGAAGTGATCCTCCCACTTTGGCCCAGCGACATTACAGGATTACAGACATAAGCCACTATGCCTATCCCTTTGATTTTTAAAAATATATATGCCATACTGTATACACGCTTTTTTTTTTTTTTTTTTTTTTTTTTTTTGTCGATAAAGTCTCACTCTGTTGCCCAGGCTGGAGTGCAGTGGCTCGACGATCTTAGCTTACCACAGCCTCCACCTCCCAGGTTCAAATGATTCTGTTGTCTCAGAGTAGCTGGGACTACAGGCACACACCACCAGGCCTGGCTGAGTTTTGTATTCTTACTAGAGACAGGGTTTCACTATGTTGGCCAGGTTGGTCTTGAACTCCTGACCTCATGATCTGCCTGCTTTGGCCTCCCAAAGGTGTAGGATTACAGGCTTGAGCCTCTGTATTTGGTCAGTATACACACTTTTGAAAAATGTTTACACAATGGCCAGCCATGGTGGCTCATGCCTGTAATCCCAGCATTTTGCAAAGCCAGGGTGGGTGGATCACCTGAAGTCAGGAGTTTGAGACCAGCCTGGCCAACGTGGTGAAACCCTGTCTCTACCAGAAAATACAAAAATTAGCCAGGCACAGTGGTACACTCCTGTAGTTCCAGCTACTGGGGAGGTTTAGATGGAAGAAAATCTTGAACCCGGAAGGTGGAGGTTGCAGTAAGCCAAGATTGCACCACTGCACTCCAGCTGGGGGGACGGAGCGATACTCTGTCTCAGAAAAAATGTTTACACAAGATGTGAAAGGCAGCATGAGTCATTATGTTTAATTCAAAAGTGGAAACTTACAAGTGAAAATCAATCCTGAACTGTCTTGTACTCAGTGATAGTCTCTTTATAACTGTTTTACAGACATTACATAATTGGCTAGGACAATGATAATCAGATGACAGGATCATTTTAGTCTTTAAAAAAAAAAAATGGCAAGTTTTTAATCTATATATGTATACTGGTTGTAAAATTCCGCTTTAGGATTTTGAAGCCATGAGCTACAATAAGTTCCTTTTTTGAACTAATACATTGAACTTAGTGGTCCTTAACCTTTTTGTACCATGGATATATATTAGAACAAATAAAAGAATTTGTTTCATGGGACTTCTATACCATAAAGCACAACTGAATGTTTATCTAAACTTGATATTTAGCAGTTAAATTTTTTCCCAGAGATTAAATGTTAACTTTTTTAACCTTGTAATTTCCCTGTGAATCACACCAGTGAGGAGAACACAGATACGGAATCGAGGCCCAGTGATAATGTTTTTGCCACTCCTGGCCCTACCATCCAGCAGTTGGGAAAAAGTGGTAAGTATGAGAAGTCAAGTTACTTCTCAGAAACATTTTTCCCAAACTATCTTTGTACGCAGTTGATTTCATCATCTTAGCCATTCTGATACTTTTCTTCATCTGTTTAATTCCTAACATTGGATTAATATTAAGTACCATTTCATTCAGTATGATTTTGTCCAAGAGAAAGAAAATTTTCTGTTTTTCTTTCTTTCTTTTTTTTGAGATGGAGTTACGCTTATTACCCAGGCTGGAGTGCAATGGCAGGAGCTTGGCTCACTGCAACATCCGCCTCCCAAGTTCAAGCGATTCTCCTGCCTCAGCCTCTGGAGTAGCTGGGATTACAGGTGCAAGCCACCATATTCAGCTAGTTTTGTATTTTTAGTAGACATAGGGTTTCTTCATGTTGATAGGGCTGGTCTTGAACTCCCAACCTCAGGTGATCCGCCCGCCTCAGCCTCCCAAAGAGCTGGGATTACAGGCATGAGCCACTGCACCCTGCCTGATATGTTTTTAATACTCTGGATCATATTCAATATTTGTCAGCTGGCTGTTTTTAACATTTTAATTTAAAACCTATATATTCATTCACCAGTCTTTTGATGTAGCGCCATAGTACTTTTTTCTTTTAGTTTAATTTAAACCTATTGATTACAGTTGTACATTGTCTTTCTTATGTAAACCCTGCACAGAGTACATCAGCCGCCATTTTAAATTTTGGTTTCCTTTGAATAGCTCAGTAACTTAGAGAAAATTTTCATACAGTGTTTTCATATTTGTCCCAGCAAACATGAAAACATTGGTGTTCATGAAAAAGCAAGATTAAAAAAATCCTAGAGTTGTATTATTTTGTTTTGTTTTGTTTTCTTTGAGACAGGGTTTCACTCTGTTGCCCAGGCTGGAGCATAATGGCACGATCTTGGCTTGCTGCAGCCTCAATTTCCCAGGCTCAGGCAGTCCTCTCGAGTAGCTAGGACTACAGGCACATACCACCATGTCCAGCTGATTTTCGTGTTTTTTGTATAGATGGGGTTTTGCCGTCTTGCCCAGGCTGGTCATAAACTCCTGAGCTCAAGAGATCTACCTGCCTCCGCCTCCCAAAGTGCTGGGATTACAGGCATGTGCCATCATGCTCAGCCTGTGATTTTTTAAAAATAATATTTTATAATTGGCTGATCTGTACCAAATTTATTGGAAATATTTAAAAACAACTTGTTTTTGTCAGGTCTTTGAAAAATCTTGGACATATTTTTTTAAATTTTATTTTCCTATCAATGTCACCAATATGTAATTGTTATTAAATTAATGAGTCTTAATAGCATAAACAGGTTTAAAAATATATCACTCATAGTAAGCTTATAGCTCAGTTTATAAGAACGTGACTGTATTAAGGAGTAGCAGATTTTTTAAGAAAAAGAAATTGGACCATCATCTTGCACCATACTCAAAAGGGCAATGTGATGAGACCTCGTCTCTACAAAAAAATTAAAAAATTAGCCAGGTGTGGTGGCTCATGTCTGTAGTCTCAGCTACTCAGGAGGCTGAGGTGGGAGAGTCGCTTGAGCTCAGGAGGTTAAGGCTACAGCAAACCATGTTTGTGCCACTGCACTCCATCCTGGGTGGCAGCAAGACACTGTCTCAAAAAAAATTTTTTTTTAAATTAGAGACTAGTCTCTATGTCACTCAGGCTGACTTGTTTCAAACTCCTGAGCTCAAGTGATCCTCCTGCCTCAGTCTCCCAAAGTGCTAGGATTACAGAGCCACTACACCTGGCAAAAAAAAAAACTTTTTAGAATAATATTACTTTTCTCCTAGTTTCTCAATTTTTTTCTCCTAAAATTTCTGTAAGATATATTTTCGAATGTATCATTCTGTCTTCTCAGTTTCTTAACTTCTCTTTCATATTTTCCCTCCCTTTCTGTTCTGTTTTGTGCCTTAGTTAGATCTTTCTTCCAGTTTACTGTTTCTCTACTTACAGTGAGTGTAAATTATTTAAATCTATCAGTTGAATTTTTACTCCAGTAACATTTTTTGCTTGATAAGCTTATTTTTTTCAAATGTATGAGGCACCAAAACAAAGCGTAGGTGCATAAAGTTGACAGCCTGGAAGAGCTGTACAATCTATCAGCCTTTTTTATTTTTTATTTTTTATTTTTTATTTTTTGAGGTGGGGTTTTGCCCTACTGTGCAGGCTAGAGTGCAGTGGTGCAGTCATAGCTCACTGCAGCCTCGAACTCCTGGGCTGAAGTGATCCTCCCACCTTGGACTCTTGAGTAGCTGAGATTGCATGTGCAGGCCACCACACTCCACTTCTCTGAATATTTTAAAACACATGTGTATGAAAGACTTTTTTTTTTTTTTTGGAGACGGAGTTTCGCTCTTGTTACCCAGGCTGGAGTGCAATGGCACGATCTCGGCTCACTGCAACCTCCGCCTCCTGGGTTCAGGCAATTCTTCTGCCTCAGCCTCCTGAGTAGCTGGGATTACAGGCACGCGCCACTATGCCCAGCTAATTTTTGTATTTTTTAGTAGAGATGGGGTTTCGCTGTGTTGACCAGGTTGGTCTCGATCTCTTGACCTTGTGATCCAACCGCCTCGGCCTCCCAAAGTGCTGGGAATACAGGCTTGAGCCACCGCACCGGGCCCTGAACGACTGTTTATGGTGTTGATTCTCTTGTTTATTGGGCTGATTCTCTGTCCTGTTAGTTTGCTTCCTCATATGCTTTTAGGTTTTTTGTTTGTCTTTTTTTTTAAAGATGGGGTTTCACCATGATGGCCAGGCTGGTCTTGAACTCCTGACCTCAGGTGATCCACCCACCTTGGCCTCCCAAAGTGCTAGGATTACAGGCGTGAGCCACCGCGCCCGGCCCGTTTGTCTTTTTAATTTTGAGACAGAGTCTCGCTCTGTCGCCCATGCGGCAGTGCAGTGACACAGTCATGGCTCACTGCAGCCTCTGCCTCCTGGGCTCAAGTGATACTCTCACCTTGGTCTCCCAAAGTGCTAGGATTATAGGCGTGAGCCACCACACCTAGGCTATGCTTTTAATTTTTACCTGTGAGCTCATTTTCAAGAGAAGTTGTTTTCAGTTGAGGTTTGTGTGCCCTGGATTGTCAGGTAGTCTCTGTGGAGCTGTGTCATGCTGGCCCCAGCCAAGGCCACATAGGTCTTGCCAACTGTAGACAACTTTCTAGATGAACCAATTGCCGCAGACCTGTGCCAGAGACATAGGGTGAGCTCAGAACCTGTAACTCCATAAATGTATGGAATTGATATTCTGATTTTCAAATACTCTTCCAAAACTCCACCTTTAGCCTAGCTTGCTTTAGTTCTGTTCCCCTGCCCAGTACCAGTGGGCAGATCTGAATATTTTTGTCCCTGGTTCATAGACCCTATGGTTCTCCCAGGCTCTCAGCTTTATGCATCATGCTCCATTTCCAATCCCCGTGTGTTCAGAGCCTGCACTTTAACTCCTCTCTGTGCTTATCTTAAAATCCCAGGTATTTAGGTATATGTTTGGAAATAGCAAATTAAGTAGATGTTAACATTTTGCTGTATTTACTTCAGATCTTTTTTTTAAATAAAAGAAAACATGAATAAAGGTAAACCCCAGTCCATTACTCTCCTTCCTGCCTTCGCCAAAAGTAATGATTTTCCCAATGTATAGTTCCATTGTTTTACAGGAGAGACATTCGGTTCATATTATTTTGCCACTACTTTTTTCACTCAACAGTGTGTTTTTTATATTTTCCATGTAAATTCAGTTTTTCGTTGAGACAGGGTCTCGCTCTGTCATCCAGGCTAGGGTACAGTGGCGCAATCTCCACTCACTGCAACCTCCGCCTCCCAGGCTCAGCCAATCCTCCCACCTCAGCCCCCCAAAGTAGCAGGGACTACAGGCATACACCACCATGCCCAGCTAATTTTTGTATTTTTTTGGTAGAGGGTTTTCATCATGTTGCCTAGGCTGGTCTCAAACTCTTGGACTTAATCTGTCTGGCCACCTCAGCCTCCCAAAGCACTTCATCCTTTTTAATTCATAAATAGTATTCTATTGTATATATAAGCCATATTCATTTGCTGGTTAGGAGGTAGTATTTTTATTTTTTATTATAGGCAGTGCTCTAAGGAAATTTTCCCTTGTGGGTATGTGTGTTTCTCATATCTAGGAGTGCCAGGTCAAAGGGCATGTACATTTTTACTTATTCTAGAAAATGCTGAATAGTCAGCTAAGAGTGGCTGTTAAGATTTATCCTCTCACTAGTGGTGTTAAGTTCCTGTTTCTCCATCTTTTCCAGCACTTGATGATTTTTAGACTTAAAATATTTTGCCAGTTAGATTGTTTTTCTAACATAGTTACCTTTTTCTCTTTGATTTTTTTTTTTTTTTCCCCTAAAGAAATGGGGTTTCTCCATGTTGGCCAGGCTGGTCTCAAACTCCTGACCTCAGGTGATCCGCCCACTTTGGCCTCCCAAAGTGCGGGGATTACAGGCGTGAGCCACCAGGCCCGGCTCTCTGATGTTTTTTAAGGTTGCCTTGATGATACTGTGTGTTCTACATAGCAAATGTCTGTATATGCATGAGTCTCTCTTGCTCTTACCTTTAATTTTCCCATCCCTGGTTGATGTGACACTGTTTTTAACTAGTATAGCTTTAGAGTAAGTCCTGCCATCTTGGAAGGCTAGTGACCTGCTCTCCCTCTTTCTCCTCCTCCTTCAAAAGTTTGATAATTTTCTCCATAAGGTTTTACACCATTTTAATAGATATCTTTGTAGGTGTCTTGTCTTTGTTGCTACTGTGAAAAGTAACTTCTTTCAAACTGTATGTGTAATAGTTTGTTGCTTTTATGTTTATTATATAACACTACTATTTGTTATTGTGTATTACTCTTGCATCCTTGCTGAACTTTATTAGTGCTAATGATAATTACATATGTGAATTAGGGGTTTTTTTCCTATCCAGTTAAGCACACTATAGTTATAATTTTTTATGACTATTTTATGTGTCTTTTAGGTGCTGAGTTTACAGATTCTCCTTTGGTACCTACATTGTGTACTCCTGGTTTGAAAATTCCATCTACGAAGAACAGCGTAGCTTTGGTAACTTTGCATAAAATTGAAAGCCGCAATCTTTCTCTTAAAGACTCAGATACACTACTGCTTGCAGGCTCAAAGAGTGTTTAAAAGACATAGATGAATCCAGCTTTTAGGAATGTATTTACAGTGCATTTCTGGAGGGTAACTTGGCAGTAGAATCAATTGCCCTAAAAATATTTTTCATACTCTTAAACCGTGTCTCAGTATTTTTTCTAAGGCAAATTGGGACAAAGATTTAAAACAAGTTATAGAGTAAGGAACAGCATTATTTGTAAGCACAAAACATAGGAAACAGTATAAATATTGAATGATATGGAAGAGCTAAAACACATCAAGGCATATCCATAAGATCCGGTGTTATATATACTATCATATGTTTTGAAAAACACATGAGCGCATATAAAAATAATGTTTTCGGCCGGGCACGGTGGCTCAAGCCTGTAATCCCAGCACTTTGGGAGGCCGAGGCGGGTGGATCACAAGGTCAAGAGATCGAGACCATCCTGGTCAACATGGTGAAACCCCGTCTCTACTAAAAATACAAAAAATTAGCTGGGCATGGTGGTGCGTGCCTGTAATCCCAGCTACTCAGGAGGCTGAGGCAGGAGAATTGCCTGAACCCAGGGGGCGGAGGTTGCGGTGAGCTGAGATCGCGCCATTGCACTCCAGCCTGGGTAACAAGAGCGAAACTCCGTCTCACCAAAAATAATAATAATAATAATAATAATGTTTTCAAAAAATATTAATCATAAGGAAAATGTGTATGTACACACACACACACACACACACACACACATATACACATTTTAAGGAAAAAGCAGATAGAAATAGCAAACTGTATCTCTGGGTGATAGAATTATGGTGATTTTGTGCTTGTTTTCCCTAAATTTTACCAACAAATAAATTTAATCAGATTTCATCAAATCAAAACCTTCTCTCTCTTTAGTCAGTGTGGTCACTTAAGCAATGCTATAGAAAACCAGTACCGTATTGGGGTGTATCCTATAGAAGTTTCTATAATGATGGAAATGTTTTATAATTTGCACTGTCCAATATGGTGGCCACCAATCACAAGTTATTGAGCACTGAAAATGTGGCTAGTATATCTGAAGAACTAATAATTAATTATTTAAATTTAATTTTAATTAACTTAAAATCTAAAGAGCCCCATGTGGCTGTGGCTACTATATTCGACAGTGCAGCTGTAGATGAACATAGGGCTGTGTTATCAATTGAAGTATGAGGTTACCTGCCTGTTACTACCTGCCATTTACAATTAATCTACTCCTTATGTTTCTGTTCATGTGGAAGGTACCCTGCGGAGGTAACACTCCATCCTCTCTTTCTACTAACTCCGACCTGAGAGAGCTGGAGCGACTTACCCCGTTGGCTGATTTAGCGTGAATAATCTGCATAGTTAAATTTTTTTTTTTTTTTTTTTTTTTTTTTGAGACGGAGTTCCGCTCTTGTTACCCAGGCTGGAGTGCAATGGCGCGATCTCGGCTCACCGCAACCTCCGCCTCCTGGATTCAGGCAATTCTCCTGCCTCAGCCTCCTGAGTAGCTGGGATTACAGGCACGCGCCACCATGCCCAGCTAATTTTTTGTATTTTTAGTAGAGACGGGGTTTCACCATGTTGACCAGGATGGTCTTAATCTCTCGACCTCGTGATCCACCCGCCTCGGCCTCCCAAAGTGCTGGGATTACAGGCTTGAGCCACCGCGCCCGGCCTACCTCAGCCTTTGTTAATAATGAAGATGGTATTTTGTCCTCTATATACCATTTGTTCTTGGATTTTGTTTAGATCTTGATCAGAGAAGATGGGGTAGATAGGGGCCTACTTAGAGACCGCAACAGAACTAACAAATGACTAACCATTTTTATTTACTACATTATATTGTATTACCATAATTTAATGGTTTATTTTTATTCAATAGGTATCCACAAATTACCCATTACCAAAAACAAATTGTTCATCAAACGATTTGGAAGTTAAAGATTGTACTTCGTTGGTTTTAAATTCAGACACATGCTTTGAGAATTTAACAGATCTCTCTTCACCTACGATTTCTTCTTACGAGAATCTTCTCAGAACACCTACACCTCCAGAAGTAACTAAAATTCCAGAAGATATTCTCCAGGTTATTTTTCCAGGCTATTTTTTTTTTTTCTGATATTCTTTCAAAGTGAAGTATCTAAAGACCTGAAACTGCATATAAACTGTCTTATTTATCATGGACCTAATGTGCTAATTTTGGTGATGAGAAAATCTAAATTAGGCTGTCAGGACCTTATTTTCTAATATTTGTTCAACTGTGGCTTCCTTACTGATCATGGTTCTGTTAGAAGTGTTGCTGGCAAAGTCAGTAAAGTCATTTATTTACGCTAAAATTTCCCAGAGCCAGGGTATCATGAGATTATGATGCTGTATTTTTACTGTACATTTTCTATGCTTAGATACACAAGTACTTACCACTGTGTAGCAAGTGCCTACACTACTGAGGACAGTTACATGCTGTTCAGGTTTGTAGCCTAGGAGCAATAGGCTATACCATATAGCCTAGGTGCGTAGCAGCGTATAGCATCTAGGTTTATGTAAGTACTGTGGTGTTCACACACAGTGAAATTGTAATGATGCATTTCTCAAGTTGTATCCCATTGTTAAGTGATGCATGACTGTATCTGATTCTTTAGTATTTAACAGCAGTTACCATTAGTGTACTAATGACTTATAACAACTGCCAATTCTAAGTAACCAGTCTGATTCTTTGACAGTCCCTCTCCTCTTAATAGAAGTTACAGTGTTTGGCAATTATTACTTACACATGTGGAATTCTTAATAACCGTTCTAGAAATCTTGATGCCTTATGGAGACCCATGAGAAGGATAAATCACTTAGCAAAGTCCCCAAATGCCATTAGATCTGACTCATGCTGGGATGTCAATGAAGTACTTCTTATCCTCTTTCTGCGTTTCTGGAAGTTATAATAAATTGTGTGAAGAAGGAGCATCTTCTGTCTTTATGCAAATTACAGTTTCCACTTCCCAGTGGGTGCTTCATCTCCTATTTCTATGTAAAAGGAAGGAAACCTTATATTTAATATATCACCTGTTTATACATGAAAAATTATAGCTGATATTTCGGGGTCTCCTTTCACAGTTTTTACAATTGATGACCTTTCGTTTAAGCATTTGTTTCACGTCTTTCCTTTGTATAATTTCCCTAACATCTTTGTAAAGGCTTAATTTGCTCTCAGGGATATATTGCTACTTGTTTTCACTGACTTCAGTCAGAATACATTTTAGGGTTTAAAAATCAGTCCTTCACATGCAAGTTAAATTTCTAATATCTCCATCTTTTCATCGCTGTTAGCATGTCTTTTTTTTTTTTTGAGACCGAGTCTTGCTCGGTCTCCCAGGCTGGAGTGCAGTGGTGTGATCTCAGCTCACTGCAACCTCTGCCTCTGGGTTCAAGTCATTCTTGTGCCTCAGCCTCCTGAGTAGCTGGGACTACAGGTGTATGGCACTATGCCCAGTTAATTTTTGTATTTTTAGTAGAGACAGTTTCACCATGTTGGCCAGGCTGGTCTCAAACTCCTGACCTCAGGTAATCTCCCTTCCTTGGCCTCCCAAACGGCTGGGATTATAGGCGTGAGCCACTGCACTCGGCCCATAGCTTTTTTGGAACATTTTATCATTGTATAACTTCTTCCAAATTTAGGTTATGTTGTTCATGTGACTTGATAAAAAGGAATTTGCTTTTTTTTTTTTCAGCTTTTATCAAAGTACAACTCAAATGTAGCTACTCCAATAGCAATTAAAGCAGTGCCAACCAGCAAAAGGTTCCTTAAACATGGACAGAACATCCGAGATGCTAGCAACAAAGAGAACTGGTGAGTATGTCACCTTTGTTTTTTTTTTGTTTTTTTGTTTTTTTGTTTTTTTGGTTTTTTTTAAGACGGAGTTTCGCTCTTGTTACCCAGGCTGGAGTGCAATGGCACGATCTCGGCTCACCGCAACCTCCGCCTCCTGGGTTCAGGCAATTCTCCTGCCTCAGCCTCCTGAGTAGCTGGGATTACAGGCACGTGCCACCATGCCCAGCTAATGTTTTGTATTTTTAGTAGAGATGGGGTTTCACCATGTTGACCAGGATGGTCTCGATCTCTTGACCTCGTGATCCACCTGCCTTGGCCTCCCAAAGTTCCGGGATTACAGGCTTGAGCCACTGCGCCCGGCCCTAGTATGTCACCTTTGTAAAGAAAATTCCTGTTTGGCTGGGCACAGTGGCTCACGCCTGTAATCTCAACACTTTGGGAGGCCAAGGCAGGTGGATCATTTGAGGTCAGGCGTTTAAGACCAGCCTGATCAACATGGAGAAACCTCGACTCTACTAAAAATACAAAAATTAGCTGGGCGTGGTGGTGCATGTCTGTTATCCCAGCTACTCCGGAGGCTGAGGCAGGAGAATCGGTTAAACTCAGGACGGGGAGGTTGTGGTGAGCCGGGATCACGATGCTGCACTCCAGCCTGAGCAACAAGAGCAAAACTTTGTCTGGAAAAAAAAAAAGTTTCTGTGTTATTTGAGGAGAACATTTAAAAATTAACATTCGAATGTTAGTAAAAAATTTTGTTTTTAATCAACATTTGCTAGGTTAATAGGGTGTCTCTATCTTTTGATATTGAACTTGAGATCCCTGAATCTCAGACTCCCGAAGTTTAATGATAAGAGTGGAAATCTATTGTCAATTATTATTATTATTATTATTAATTTTTATTTTTTTATTTATTTGAGATGGAGTCTCGCTGTCGCCCGGATAGAGCGCAGTGGCACCATCTCAGCTCACTGTAACATCCAACTCCCTGGTTCAAGCGATTCTCCTGGCTCAGCTTCCTGAGTAGCTGGGATTACAGCACATGTTACCACGCCCAGCTAATTTTTGTATTTTTATTAGAGATGGGGTTTCAGCATGTCAGCCAGGATGTTCTCAATTTCCTGACCTCATGATCCCCCCGACCTAGGCCTCCCAAAATGCTGGGATTACAGGCGTGAGCCACCGAACTCAGCCCAATTATTTTATAAGTGTAAAATACGTAGCCACAGTATTGTGTCATTTGTCTTAATGGCTTTTAATTATATGAAATTGATATTTTTTATTTGTATCTGTTGTAGAAATTCTACTGGATCCACCCATTACAGACACTGAACAGAATGAGATGAAAGCAGAGCTGGACCGATTTTGTCATTCACATTCCCCTGACTCTTTCTTTTAAAAATCGACCCTATTTTAGCCGGGTGTGGTGGCTCACTCCTGAAATCCCAGCACTTGGGAGGCCAAGGCGGGTAGATCACAAGGTCAGGAGTTTGAGACCAGCCTGGCCAACATGGTGAAACCCTGTCTCTACTAAAAATACAAAAAATTAGCCAGGCGTGGTGTCGGGTACCTGTAATCCCAGCTACTCGGGAAGCTGAGGCAAGAGAATTGCTTGAACCCTGGAGCTGGAAGTTGCACTGAGCCGAGACTGTGTCATTGCAATCCAGCCTGGGTGACAGAGTGCAACTCCGTCTCAAAAAAAGAAAAAAAAAATTGACTCATTTTATATAGGAACGTGGACATTGACATCATAATACTCTTTTTATCAAGTTTTGATAAGGTTTAACCTTAGTCTTGTTGACATGTAGTCCTGTCATTCACTCTTTAAGGATTATTAGTGTTTCATTACTACTAAATTACCCTGGTTAATCAACAGAATGGTTTAAGTAGTACCAGGAAGTGGGACAAATGATTTTAAAAATGTAAAGGCATGCTGGGCACGGTGGCTCATGCCTGTAACGCCAAGCACTTGAGGACTGTTTTATGATTGTTCCTTGAAAGTCAAATGGAGGACCTGTCCATTGTGCTCTGTTAATCTTGTCAGAAAACTGTCACCAAAACAAAACTTGATTTTATCTTTGTTCTAGGAGTTACTATGTAGTTTTAAGTATAATCTTCGTTAAATATAATGTAAAATAAAAATTTAAGATATTTAGTTTTCTTTTTCAAAGTAAAGTTCTAGTGAGCCTTATGTATGCCATTGGCTCTGACATGTATACCAGCCTGTCACTGTGTACTGTGTATATAAATGCATAGAATCGGGTTAGCTGCTTAGGGAGGGGATATATTCAAAGTGTACCAAGGACCAAATCCTGGAGTTCTCCTAACGTTAGAGGTTGGAAAGAGGCCAGTGAAGTGGGAAGAAAATATTTCAAGGAGAGTGATGATTCTGTCAGTATTGCTGAGAATTCAAGTAAAAAGAGGCCTGAGAATGGACTACTGGGTGTGGCAAAGTTGATGTTGTTGACAACATTCATTTTGGTGGAGTGCTGGTACTGGAAGTGTAGTGGATGGAAAACGGCTGAGGAGTAAACCACTTTAGACAGCTCTTTTGAAGATTTTTGCTGAAGAAGGTAGGCGAGAGGAGGGGCAGTAGCTAGAAGAGGTTATGGAGTGAAGTGTTTTTTTAGTTTTTTGAGACAGAGTCTCACTCTGTCACCCAGGCTGGAGTTCAGTGGCGTGATGTTGGCTCACTGCAACCTCCGCCTCTCAGGTTCAAGTGATTCTCATGCAGGGTAACTCCGCTTTATAAAACCATCAGTTCTCGGGAGACTTAGTATCATGAGAGCAGCATGGGAAAGACCCGTCCCCATGATTCAGTTACTTCCCACTGGGTCCCTCCCACAACATGTGGGAGCTGCAGTTGAGGGGAAATTTGGGTGAGGCCACAGCCAAACCACATCAATGCGCAATCAAGACTGTTAAGCATTTCTGATCATCAGCTTTGTGGTGGCCCCTGTTTGTCCAAGTCGTATTTCCCTAACCCTTACCACCTTCCTGCTATGATCCTAGTTTCTTAGAACTGATGCTTCTAGCTTATCAAGCTTCAAACATCGGGATCTTTCAGGTGTGTCTTCCCAGTGCTCTTAAAATGAAATCCAAGATCCGTATGACTCACGTGGCCCTACATGATTTGACCCCAGCTTGCATCTCCCTCCTGCCCCTTGGGCTCCAGCCACACGACCCTCTTCCGCTCCTGCATTCTTCCTGCTCCTGGTCCTCGCACAGGCTGCGCTCATCCTGGAATACTTTTTCCCACCCACTCTGAAAACACTCCCTCGTCCTTAATTTGTAGACACTTGATGTTTTTGTCTGTGCCCTAAGGACTTACAGGCCAGCTCCAGGCTCAACCAAGCAGTATCACAACTTCAAGTCAGGTCAATGAAAGCCCATTCTGGGGCTGAGGAAGTACTGGGAAAGAGCAGTACACTTCTGGAGATGCAGTGGTACAGCTGGAGCTGGGAAGGGAGGGGTTTTCTGTTACTTCAGGCTTTGAGCCCTGGCTAACATGCCTCAGCTCTCAGATTGTTGTTTTATCAGGGTTTACCTACCTTCCTTGTTTAAAAGCGGTCTTCCCTTAGTTCTTTCTCAGCACCTTATTCTCATCCTTCATAGTATTTGGTAGAATTTAATTGTTTAATATTTGGGTATACATTTATTTAATATTTATCTCCCCTACTGGACCACAAAAGCTCAATGAGGGCAAGGACCTTGTTTGCTTACTTTGTCCATTACCCGGTCACCTAGGAGTCTGAAAGGTTTACTGTGTGAATTAGAGATTACATCAAAGAGTTGAGATCTTACAATGCCAGGCATGGTTCTAAATGCTATACGTTTATTAATGTGTGGAATTAACTCTTTGAGGTAGGTACCCAATTTTTCACATGAGGAAATTGAGGCTTTAATGATTGACTTTCCATGTCCCATTTCCCATCCCAAGTCTTGTTGGTTACCAGGCCCTGCGCGGGATCTTTTAACGCCTCTCCACCACTACCCCGATTGTCACCTAGATGATTACAATACTGAATTATCTGATCCTCCTCTTTATCTGGAACTCCTGCCAAAGGTCAATAGGTAAGTGCTCCACTGATTGTGAGTTCATCACTTCCTCTTTTGTTCATGCTGTGCCCTTTATTTGGAGTGCAGATCCCACTCTTCTAGGAATTGAACAAGTTTAAATGCCATCTGTAGAACACCTTTCATTATCCTACCAGTCTCTTCAGTAGTTCTTGTGACATTTTTCTGTCCACTTTTTTTTTTTTACACTGAGTCAGAAAATTATTTTAATAGTTACAAACATTTTTTTTTTTTACAGAATCAGTATAAAACAGCAGTTGATTTCTCCATAATTATCAGAATTATTTATATTTGAGGTCTTGGCTAAGTGGGGCTGAAATCAACAAAAGGTCTAGGACTGTTGGCTCAGAAATCATCGTAGAAAGCCCACCCTGTTGATAACTGTCATGCTTAGCTCTTATGAGATGAGCCGGTCCTTTAAAAAAAAAAAAAAGTATCTCTGTTCATTCTTTGGAGGCTTGAAGTGAATTCGGCAGCATTCCTTAAACACCTTCCAGCTCCTGTCATTTACCACTTCTTCAACGTTCAGTTCTGACTGCATCCATTTCAACTTTGTCTACTCTTTTCTGAGTTGCTTTAATAACGTTAAATTGTCCAAATTATTTTCTCTCTCTTCTTGGAGGTTTTTTACTACTTCTGATGTCTGGGCGATACAATTTTTTATAACTGTCCCTACTGGCATGAGCTGCCATCAAAGACTCATAAAGTTGTTTACAGGTTTGGCTGGCATGAATTTTCCCTGCAAAGGAAGCTGTTGGAACCGTAGTGTTTAATTCATGTACTATTCTGTCATCAATTGTCCTCATCACCTTGAGTAATTCCTGCCACATGAGGAAAAACCCCATCACCTGAAACTCAGCAAACTCCTCACAGTTCACACTGCCACTGGGTGCCACCATATTGGACTTTTTTTTTTTTCTTTTCTTTTTGAGACGGAGTTTCGCTCTTGTTACCCAGGCTGGAGTGCAATGGCGCGATCTCAGCTCACCGTAACCTCCGCCTCCTGGGTTCAGGCAATTCTCCTGCCTCAGCCTCCTGAGTAGCTGGGATTACAGGCACGCGCCACCATGCCCAGCTAATTTTTTTGTATTTTTAGTAGAGACGGGGGTTTCACCATTTGACCAGGAGGGTCTCGATCTCTTGACCTCGTGATCCACCCGCCTCGGCCTCCCAAAGTGCTGGGATGACAGACTTGAGCCACCGAGCCCGGCTGGACTTTTTTTTTTTTTTTTTTTTGAGAGAGAGTTTCACTCGTTGCCCAGGCTGAAGCGCAATGGTGCAATCTCGGCTCACCAAAACCTCCGCCTCCTGGGTTCAAGTGATTCTCCTGCCTCAGCCTCCAGAGTAGATGAGATTACATCCATTTCATGTGCCACCATGCCCAACTAATTTTGTATTTTTAGTAGAGACAGGGTTTCTCCGTGTTGATCAGGCTGGTCTCGAACTCCTGACCTCAGGTGATCCACTCACCTCGACCTCCCAAAGTGCTGGGGTTACAGGTGTGAGCCACTGCACCCAGCTTTCTGTCTACCTTTTATCAATATTTGCACCCCTTCCTCCTTACTAGACTGTAAAATTTTGAGGAAGGATCTGCATCTGTGTTAAACTGATCTTTATTGCCAGGTTCACAGCACCTGGTATATAAAATAGGAACTCATCTAAAATTTTCAAGATTTTTAAGACGGAGTCTTGCTCTGTCACTAGGCTGGAGTGCAGTGGTGCAATCTCGGCTCACTGCAACCTCCACCTCCCAGGGTCAAGCAATTCTGCCTCAGCCTCCCAAGTAGCTGGGATTACAGGCGTATGCTATCATGCCCGACTAATTTTTGTGTTTTTAGTAGAGAAGGGGTTCCGCCGTGTTGGCCAGGATGGTCTCGATCTTCTGACCTCATGATCTGCCCGCCTTGGCCTCTCAAAGTGCTGGGATCACAGGCATGAGCCACCGTGCCCGGCCAAATTTTCAAGATTTTGAATATCCTTGGCCGGGCGCGGTGGCTCAAGCCTGTAATCCCAGCACTTTGGGAGGCCGAGGCGGGTGGATCACGAGGTCGAGAGATCGAGACCATCCTGGTCAACATGGTGAAACCCCGTCTCTACTAAAAATACAAAAAATTAGCTGGGCATGGTGGCGCGTGCCTGTAATCCCAGCTACTCAGGAGGCTGAGGCAGGAGAATTGCCTGAACCCGGGAGGCGGAGGTTGCGGAGAGCCGAGATCGCGCCATTGCACTCCAGCCTGGGCAACAAGAGCGAAACTCCGTCTCAAAAAAAAAAAAAAAAAAAAAAGATTTTGAATATCCTTCAGTTTCACTTCATTCTTAAATTGCTCTAATTTCATCAGATTCCAGGATTACTATGATTACGGAGACAGCGCTTGTGTCATCGCCCAGGCTAGCGTGCGGTGCTGTCATCTCAGCTCACCGCAAACTCGGTTCAAGTGATTCTCCCACCTCGTCTCCCTAGGAGCTGGGATTACAGGCATGCGCCACCACGCCAGGCTAATTTTTGTTTTTAGGAAGAGACAGGATTTCACTGTGTTGATCTGGCTGGTCTTGAATTCCTGACCTTGGGTGATCTGCCCACCTCGACCTCCCAAAATGCTGAGATTATAGGTGTGAGCCACTGCACCCAGCCAAACCCTGTTACATTTTCTTGAGTTGGTTGGTAACTGGGTTGACATACTAGCGTGGGTAGGGCAGGAACTTCTAAACAACTGAAGGAACAAATTGGAGCGGCTAGAAATGCTTTTTCCCCTTTTATTTATTTATTTTTTAAAGGTGGGGTTTCACCATGATGGCAGGCTGGTCTTGAACTCCTGACCTCAGGTGATCCACCCACCTCGGCCTCCCAAAATGTTAGGATTACAGGTGTGAGCCACAGCGCCCGGTCGCTTTTTCTTCTTTTAAAATAGCTTACCTTTACTGAACATTCACTGCCCACCAGGCTCTCCCCTACTTTCACTGAATCCTCCCAAGTTTTATGAGGCAGGGATATCAATACAACATCTTCCTATAATAAAGTCTGTATAACATTCCAAGGCTAAGGACTTTTGCTTATTACAACTACTTTTTAGTATTTTTTTTTGAGATGGAATCATGCTCTGTTGCTCAAACTGGAGTGCAATGGTGCGATCTCACTGCACTCTTTGCCTCCTGGGTTCAAGCGATTCTCTCGCCTCAGTCTCCCAGTAGCTGGGATTACAGGTGGGCAACACCACACCCAGCTAATTTTTGTTATTTTTAGCAGAGCCGAGGTTTCACCATATTGGCCAGGCTGGTCTCAGAACATCTGAACTCCTGATCCACCCACCTCAGCCTCCCAGAGTGCTGGGATTAGAGGCGTGAGCCACCACGCCCAGCCTTAAAATTACTTTTATGTTTAGCTCATTTCTCCTAAGGATTTATTTTTTTTTTTGAGACAGCGTTTCACTCTTGTTACCCAGGCTGGAGTGCAATGGCGCGATCTCGGCTCACCACAACCTCCGCCTCCTGAGTTCAGGCAATTCTCCTGCCTCAGCCTCCTGAGTAGCTGGGATGACAGGCATGCGCCACCATGCCCAGGAATGTTTTTTGTATTTTTAGTAGAGACGGGGTTTCACCATGTTGACCAGGATGGTCTCGATCTCTTTGACCTCGTGATCCACCCGCCTCGGCCTCCCAAAGTGCTGGGATTACAGGCTTGAGCCACCGTGCCCAGCTCTCCTAAGGATTTCTTAAGGGGAGAATCCATGATTTTGTCCTCATAGAATAGTTGCCTAGTCATGATTAATCCTAACAGAATAAACATAACTTCCTTCATGCCTGGGCCATTGCAGACTCCAGGAAATTAGTTATTTGCAACAGCAACCTGTATTTTAAGTAACAGAAGACAAACCACAACAGGCAGACATCTGGCTGCTCTTATCACATTCAGAGTGGAAACTATGACCTTGTCATTCTTTTAAGAGAGGCATTTTGGGTTTGTATAAAAACTGAATAAAGGAGGTCTACTTTAGGCAAAAGTTGCTGATCATAGGGGATAACATCACTACAAGAATAGCGTCAGTGTAGTATGGATGGAAGCCAAACTATAATAAACTGATGGTAAGAAACTGAGTATGAAAGAACATTATTTCTGGAACTGTTTCAACTAATTTTCTATTTTTGGCTACCTAGGTCCAATGCTCCACTTTTAAGCTGTTATTTAAAGTAGCCCCTCAATCTGGGTCTCATTTTCACCTATAAATGTAAACTGTAGTCACTGTGTCTCAGTTGTGGTTACATGAGATAATGCTCGTCAAGTCGTTCCTCAGCATAGTACCGATGTTCCTTACTCATGAGGTCATGTCTGGATAAACGCTTCAGAAGTTGAAAATATCCTAAGTAGGCCGGGAACGGTGGCTCACACTTGTAATCCCAGCACTTTGGGAGGTCAAAGTGGGCAGATCTCCTGAGGTCAGGAGTTCGAGATCAGCCTGACAAATACGATGAAACCCTGTCTCTACTAAAAATACCAATTAGCCAGGTGTGGTGGCATGTACCTATAATCCCAGCTACTGGGAAGCCTGAGACAGGAGAATCACTTGAACCTGGGATGTAGAGGTTGCAGTGAGCTGAGTTTGCACCACTGCACTCCAGCCTGGGGTACAAGAGTGAAACTCAAAAAAAAATAAATAAATAAAAATAAAAAAAATCCTAAGTCAAAACTACACTTTCTACCTATGTTCAGTTCACAGTGGGTTTATTGGGACATACCCCATAATATTCTGAGGACCGTTTGACGGCTTATCACTTATGTGCCATCGTAAAGCTGAAAAATCTAAAGCTGAAATATCATAAGTTGGAGACTATCTGTATTTGGCACAAATAAACACTTAAATCCTAGTTATAAGCTTGATTTAGAATGTTGCCTTCTCAGTTTCACAAAAAAGTTTGAAATGTGTGTTTAACTGAACAAGAAAGAGGTTTATCAAGTTCAGCTCTTTATTATTTAGTATCAGTTAAATTTTAGAGAATTTTAAACCTAGCCTAATAGTTTTGTTTCTTTCTACCCCCATTCCTACCTGCCAGTTACATGCGTAAAACTGATACCTACAACATTACCTGAGTCAATGATCATCTGGGCATAACTGTCCCAGCTTTTGTACACCGTGAAAAACTAAAAACATATTATAGGCAATGTTATGAACTATAACTCACATATTCCAAAGGCAAAATGTCAATTCCAAAAGACTTTTGAGCAAATGAGGCAACCAGGGCAGACACTAAAGCACTGAGCAAGAGGCTGTCACGATGACTATTTCTATTTTATATTTGGGGAAACAGCTGTTATTACTCAAAGTCACAGTTACTTACCAAAGCCAGAGGTGAACAAGGACCAAGTACAAGTCTTTTGATTCTTAACATTATATTCAATAAATTCACTAGGTATTCTCTAACTGTACTTTTGATGGAATATTGAAATCTTCGAAGGAAAAATTCCATGTTGGAACCAAGCAAAGGGTGGAATTTGACAAACCAGCCCATTTTATTTAGTTCCTACCCTCATCTGCATAGTAAATCACAGGGTTTTTTTCTCCCCACGAATAGGAAGTTAATCATGGCTATTCTCCAAAAAGCTAGGTTTCAATTAACTATAAAGTTAATAAGCCTCCAGTCTATCTAATCTGAATGAATAAACCACCTAAAGGTTTGGGGTAAATCTCAGCACAGAAGAGGCACCAGATAGGCTCCAGGCTGGTCTCTGCCACTGCTGACTAACAGTGACACCAACTCCACACAATCACTAGATTTCAAACGGCTGTTTTTGTATGTACCAGATAAAACTAGTGCAATTTTATTAAATTTTCGGATATACATTTTCAATTTGCTACCGTAACAGACTAACCGGAATTAGACGATACACTCTGTCATACTGTTCATAAACTTCACATCGAGGCTACAATAGTGCCATGGAAGACAAGAGATCCAGTTTTAATTCCACTTTACAGCCAATAACCAATATTTATGGTTTCTCATCTGTCAAGCACTATTCTAAGCTCTTTTAAAATAGTCAGTCTTCGCAGTCCTACAGGCCATTATCTCAATTTTACAAAATAAAGATTCAAGTAAATTAGCCAAGGTTACAGAGCCACTGCTGCAATCAGGATTTAAACGTTTCTATACACTGGTCTTAATCACTACCCCTTAAATCAGACGCAGGCCAGTACCCAGCACATAAGAGGATGTGTGAATACCTCCTATTCACTCCACCTGGCCTTGTCTTTAGTGCTTCTCCCTCGGTCTTAAAATTCCTCCTTCACCCCTGCCTCCACTTGCAGATCTTCAAGGTAAACCTTTCCACTTCTACCGTTAAGTCCAAATCCTTGTTTCCTCTGAACTGGTTCCAGCCTTTAAAATGCCCTATTCCCCACATGTTAAAAATATAAGCAGCTCTCACTGTGGTACCTGTTAGCCTTGCAATGTCATGGTACCCTAATCAAGGCAGGCCCATCACCTCCACCACAGCTGCTTCAACTTGCCTCAGCTTATACTATTCCAAACGGCCTCTGCTGCCACTTGAGCTCACTCTCACGTCCTTTCCAACTGCATACAGCAGTCTACACCACAAACTCATGTTTGATTTCATACAATCCCGTGGCTTTCTTGTTCTGCCCGCTGTGGGCTTAACCATACCCTCCTCTACTACTTAGTATAAACCCTGCTCCCAGGCCTCCGTTAACTTGCACACTCAAGCTGATTACATACATCTATTTAACAGTACAGTTTTACACAGAATGCTAAGAGCACTTTTCTTCATATTTTACAGAAGGGTTTAAAACATACGGACTTTCTATTAGTAATCATACGATAGCACATCCAAATCTAATTCCTAAATAGATGATGCATGATAAGTTGTTTGGAATTTAAAGGCTTAATGGCAATAATCAGGGGAGGAAAAGTTTATTTTACACAACTGACTGAAAAATAAGTTCAAGAAATAATTTAATACGGCCTCATGCGCCCTGAAGGGGGGGGCGCCCGGTTTGGAGGGGTGATTGCTATGTCCAGGTAATCCCCTATCTGGAACTTCTGCGACTGCAGCGTCATGGAATCATCAGTCCCCTTTCTGCCAGACATGGTGCTGCCAATCTCCTTAACTCTGCAAGAAGGAAAATCAACTGTTAATGGCTCAAAATCAATGAAACCCAGTAGGTACCACAAAATGAATATGGGACTGGATTTGCTCCATCATTTTACAACACAGTTCCAAAATTTAAGTATTTTATTCAGCTGAACCAGGTATTTAAATATAAACCCATATTCTCCCCACTAAGAAGACTCATTCAAGGGGTTATCTCTATCAGTTAAAACATGCTAAAAACAAAGATTGCAGGGATTAAAAATGAGACGTTACCTACCGATAGCCAGGTCTTTTAACATCTGTAAAAACGATTGCAAAATTGAAGTGAGTGCCCTTCTTTCTAGCTTCTGGGTAGACTTCTTTTACTAAGCTTGTCAGTTCTTTCAAGGTTGCATCCATCCTGGATTTTTTTTTAAAAAAAGAAATTTACATTTGCTTCAGCAATAATATGAAAAGGATTTTGACAATGAGTTAATTACATGTATCTCAGTTGTGACTTACATTAGAAACTGCCTCTTATACTAGAATTTAATTTCAAAGCAGCTAAATATACTATTTGCCTCCTAAAACTCCCTGTACCAGCCTTACTGTTGGGAATTTCAATTAATTAAAGCTATATTCTTAGCGCCAAACGGGACTTCGGAGAATATAAATGCTCTCTTCTGTTGCTATGCAACACATTATGGCCTAGTGATTTACCTAAGGGTAACTAGTCCAAACAAATCCAAATAAGCAAAGCAGATGTATTCCATCACTTCTAAGACATGTACTCTTCCACATTTTAGCTATCTCTGAAATCAGACTGTATCTTAGAATTAATGTGCTAGGAAAGCATTTTCATACAGCTTTTTGCTGTTTTGTGGTGGTTGTTTTGAGACCGAGTCCTGCTCTGTTGCTCAGGCTGGAGATCTCGGCTCACTGCAACCTCCACCTTCCAGGTTCAAGTGATTCTCCTGCCTCAGCCACTCAAGTAGCTGAGATTACAGGTGCCTGCCAACACATCCAGCTGATTCTTGTATTTTTAGTAGAGATGGGGTTTCATCATGTTGGTCAGGCTGGTCTCAAAATGATCTACCCACCTTGGCCTCCCAAAGATTACAGGCCTCAGCGACCTAACCCAGCCAGAATTGTTTCTTCTTTCTTAGACAGGATCTTAAGATAAGTTTTACGCCGGGCGCGGTAGCTCAAGCCTGTAATCCCAGCACTTTGGGAGGCCGAGGCGGGTGGATCACGAGGTCGAGAGATCGAGACCATCCTGGTCAACATAGTGAAACCCCATCTCTACTAAAAATACAAAAAAAAACTAGCTGGGCGTGGTGGCGCATGCCTGTAATCCCAGCTACTTAGGAGGCTGAGGCAGGAGAATTGCCTGAGCCCAGGAGGCGGAGGTTGCGGTGAGCCGAGATCGCACCATTGCACTCCAGCCTGGGTAACAAGAGCGAAACTCTGTCTCAAAAAAAAAAAAAAAAAAAAGATAAGTTTTACAATAAATAAAAGTCCTACAGCCAATGAAATATACAAAATTTTCTTAGGATGAAGACAGGCTCTTGTCACAATAAAGTTTCTTACCCTACAAACTGATTTGAATGCAACTTTAATATAGTCCTGTGAGCTACTATGGCACAATCTGAAAAAACATTTTAAAATGTTAAGTACCTTAGAAATAATAATCTAGTATACACTTTTTTTGCCAGGTGCAGTGGCTCACACCTGTAATCCCGGCACTTTGGGAGGCTGAGGTGGGCGGATCACCTGAGATCGGGAGTTTGAGACCAGCCTGATCAACATGAAGAAACCCCATCTCTACTAAAAATACAAAAAATTAGCTGGGTGCGATGGCACATGCCTGTAATCCCAGCTACTTGGGAGGCTGAGGCAGGAGAATCATTTGAACCCAGGAGGTAGAGGTTGCGGTGAGCTGAGATCACGCCATTGTACTCCAGCCTGGGCAGCAAGAGCTAAACTCTATCTCAAAAAAGAAAAGAAATAACCTAATATATATTTGTATATTGTTTTCTTCCAATGCAAACCAGGAAAATGCAATGGTTTGGAACTTGAAACAACACTGTCGACTGCTATTAAATGGCACAAGGATACTAAGCCCTAGTGAAGAGAGAGAACTAATGCACAGCATCAAGAAGGAACACACAACAGCACATTTAGTTTTAGCTTTGTGCTATTTACAAAACGCCACCACACCACACTCAAAGTAAACCAAGGGCTTCAACTACACTCCTAGTAAAAATACCCAGGATGACTACTTCATCTTCGATTTCTACTGCTACAAATCTTTCTCAATATCCCCTAACAGAACTTGACAGACTTCTGAAAACATGCCCCTTCCCCTCATAATCCTACCAAAAATGTCACCACTTAGCTGCCCAGGTCACAATACCAAGCATTCTTCAATTCTTCCCACCTCCATCCTGTTACACAGTCTTATTGTTTCTACCTCCTAAATACAGATCAAACAGGTCTTCTTCCTTCATCCCCACCATCACTGCTTTATTTCAACCTCTCATTATTTAACTCTCAGTATGTTACCTTCAGCCCATCTCAGTTTCTAAGTTTCCGTTTTTGTATACAATGGTGTCAAGCAGGTGACACCTGTTACTATACGACCTCTAGGGGAGTCCCACTGTGTGGAAGACAACAAAGAACAGACGTCTGTCACCAGGAGAAGCAGTCCCAGGATGTAAAGCTTTGCAGCTGTTAGTCACCAAGAATGACATAACGTACTCTGCCACTGGCAGGACAATGCTTTGCTAACACAGAGAAGAGACAGAGTTAAAATCACCTTCAATAGTGTCAGTCCCCCATGGCTAGCAGGTCACAGCCAACACAGGGAGATGGTCTACATGCACCCCACATGCTGCAGGCAAAGGACCCCCCATTCCCTCCTCACTGGGAACAGATTCAGCAACAGGGTTTCCACGTGCCATATAACATACATGCTTATGCAAAACAAAGGAGTACACATCGAGCCCAGGGCAGGAAAGGATACTCCCAGAGATCCGCCCAACACCAGCTGTGAGGGCTCGTTATCTCTTTGCAAGGCAATACTTCCTACTAAAGGCCACTCTATATACCATGAGTGCTGCACATGACTGCCTTCCCTAACTTGATACATGTACCTAAGAGGGAAAAGCCATATGCAGTAATGCAATAAATTAGTTCCCAAATCTCACCAATCAGAAATAGCCAGTGATGTTAACATTATTGTGGGCAACTTTTTGTTTATGCAATACACTACTACAAAAAAAATTTCCTTAAGATATCAAGCATATTATACATGCTGAGACTCATACAAAATATAATTCATGCTCTAAGTACTGTCCATATTTTAATAAAAATTATTTTTTATCTTGGGAAGAGAAAATCAACAGTAAAAGAATCATAAAACTTCACAGATAAAGACACCCATCGTTACCGTTCCTCCATTTTGTGTCTTATTTTACCTTTGTAAGAGTTAATCTTCTGTTCTGCAACAGTAATTCCCCTGGTTATTTTAACTTTGTCCCCAGTGAACTCCAATGTTGGTAAAAAGCTGGGGTCAGCCTGGGCAGGAAGGCTCATGCCTATAATCCCAGCACTTTGGAAGGCCATAGAAGGGGGATCACCTAAGATCAGGAGTTCAAGACCAGCCTGGCCAACATGGTGAAACCTGTCTCTGCTAAGAATAAAAAAATTAGCTGGGCGTGGTAGCACACACCTGTAGCCTATAATCCCAGCTACTCCAGGAGACTGAGGCAAGAGAACCACTTCACCTGGGAGGCGGAGGCTGCAGTGAGCCGAGATCGTGTCACTGCACTGCAGCCTGAGTGACAGAGTGAGACTCTGTCTCAAAAACCAAATAAAAAGAACCCTGAGGTCACACTGGTTTATCTGTCTAGGTGACCTTTTATTTTGTAACCTGATATTCTGCTGTTAATTATTCTGTATCAATTACAGGTTGAGTATCCCTTACCCAAAATGCACGGGACTAAAACTGTTTTGGATGTTTTCAGATTTTAGAATTTTTGCATATATATAAAACATTTTAGGGTTGCAACCCAAGTTTAAATCAGAAACTCATTTACATTTCAAACGCACCTTATACGCATAGCTGGAACACAATTTTATACATTTTAAGGTAATTTTGTGCATGAAAGGAAGTTTGTGTCAAGAACTTATGTGTGCAATTTTCCACCAGTGTCATGTCAGCTCTCAAAACATGTCAGATTCTGCAGCATTTCAGATTTTGGACTTGTGATGCTGAATCTATATTCTCATACACAGCATGCATACATTTACGATGATGATATCCCAGAAAGAATTTTTTCCTTTCTAAAAACATTTTCAATATTGTCTTGGTCGTAATGAATTTGGGGGATTTCACACCTTTTATCAGTTCTGACAGTGTGAAACCTACACAAGCTTCCCACCTTCTAAGAGACTGTCTTTCCAAAACAACAACCGGAGTGCCAAGTGTTGCTTTCTCACCGCTAGTCAGAAGCCTGAGGACACAGGTAGGGTTCAGTACTTGTGTCAGCTTGAAGCTACAGTCCCTAGACATTCAACCAAACACGAATCTAGGTATTGCTGTGAGATATTTTGTAGATGTGATTGAAGTCTACAACCAGTTGACCTTAAATTCAGGGGTCTGTCCTTTTATCTTCTGGGTAGGTCCTAAGAGCAGCCTTTCCTTTCTGAGAACCCGCCCTACAGATTTGATAATTAAGTGCCTAGGCAGCCACCACAATCGTGTAAGCCAATTCTTTGCAATAAATTTCTCTCTCTCTTTTTTTTTTTGAGATGGAGTCTTGCTCTCTCACCCAGGCTGGAATACAGTGGCATGATTTCAGCTCACTGCAACCTCTGGATCCTGGGTTCAATCAATTCTCCTGCCTCAGCCTCCTGAGTACTTCGAATTATAGGTGCCCGCCACCAGGCCCAGCTAATTTTTGTATTTTTAGTAGAGATGGGCTTTCACCATGTTGGCCAGGCTGGTCTCAAACTCCTGACCTTGTGATCTGCCCACCTCGGCTCCCAAAGTGCTGGGATTACAGGCACGAGCCACCGCGCCCGGCAGTGCAATATATCTCTTAACACATCTCTCTGGATTCTGTTTTTCTGGCTGAGCCCTGACTGTTAGTGACCTAATTAATGACTACCCACACACAGGAGATATGCACGTTTGGCTTGTTCTCTAAACTTCGTAGGGCACCTCAAACTTTGGTGAACACAGCCTGCTTCTGCTGGGCTCCTCTGGACTTCCACTCTCTTTTCTGTAACTTGTCTTGGGGCTGCCTACTTTAGCCCCACAGTCTACTTCTCCCAAGTGAGAATTTCCAATATATGTTAACTAATTTTCCCTGATTACTATTTCTAGGAATGAGGGCAGGCCTTTGTGTTACCCCCACACCAGTATTTCAGAATCTTTTCTTTGGCCACCATTTTGAGATGTAACTTAAGCTTATTCCTTCTTTGGTTGCTTACAATTTCAGGGTAGTTTAGGACAGGATTTTTTGGTCATTTTTTTTTCTTGGTTCAGAGTAGAAGGTCTGTAGAACAATCTTACCCTGCCATCTTAACCCCAAAAATCACACTAATTTATTCATCCGCTTTCCCTGATGAAAGACTACAGGGAGAAGCAGTACCTTCTTGATTTTATACTCAGGATCTAAGTACAAAACCCAGCAAATAGGAACTCGTATTTGTTGGAAGAAACAGACACTTTAATTTCTGAAAAGAGATTTTTCATCAAGCCACTATTCAACAGTTCTTCCATTTAAGTTAAATCAACCTTTCTGGAGCATTTAGTCTTGAGTGATGCTTAAGTACAAGTATCATACTACTACGTAAATTTAACAAGCACCTCCAAATAACGTGTAGGGCCCCAATCTTCAAGGAATTGAGCTCTAGCGTACAGGAGGACTTACACAATTTAACATTACACATCTTTTGGGGAATGTAAAATAGTACAGCTGCTGTGAAAAAGTTTGGTGGGTGCTCAAAAATTAAACAAAATTAACATATAACATTTGTATGCCAATGTTCACAGCAGCATTAATCACAATGGTAAAAAAAGGTGAAACCAGCCAGGTGTCCATCAATAGATGAGTACATATGTGATGCACACATATAATGAAATATGATTCAGCCTTAACAAGGAAGGAAATCCTGATGGATGCGACAACATAAATAAACCCTGAAAACACCATGAAATAAGTGAGATAAGCCAGGCACAAAATGACAAGTACTGCAATGAGTCCACTGAAATGAAATATGCAGCACCACTTCAGGTCAAGAGTTCAAGACCAGCCTGGCCAACATGGTGAAACCCCTTCTCTACTAAAAATACAAAAATTAGCCAGGTGTGGTGGTGGGCACCTGTAATCCTAGCTACTCAGGAGGCTGAGGCACAAGAATCGCTTGAACTCAGGAGGTTGCAGTGAGCAGAGATCTCGCCACTACACTCCAGCCTGGGCAAGACTGAGATTCAAAAAATAAAAATAAAAACAAGGCCGGGTGCGGTGGCTCAAGCCTGTAATCCCAGCACTTTGGGAGGCCGAGGCGGGTGGATCACGAGGTCGAGAGATCGAGACCATCCTGGTCAACATGGTGAAACCCCGTCTCTACTAAAAAGTGCAAAAAATTAGCTGGGCATGGTGGCACGTGCCTGTAATCCCAGCTACTCAGGAGGCTGAGGCAGGAGAATTGCCTGAACCCAGGAGGCGGAGGTTGCGGTGAGCCGAGATCGTGCCATTGCACTCCAGCCTGGGTAAAAAGAGTGAAACTCCGTCTCAAAAATAAAAAATAAAAAATAAAAAATAAAAACAAATGGTTAACATGGCAAATTTTGTAATATATGCATACATACATACTTTTTGAGATGCAGTCTTGCTCTGTTGCCCAGGCTGGAGTGCAGTGGCACAATCTTGGCTTACTGCAACCTTCACTTTCTGGGTTCAAGCAATCCTTCTGCCTCAGTCTCCCATGTAGCTGGGATTACAAGGCTGTACCACCACACCCGGATAATTTTGCATTTTTAGTAGAGACAGGGTTTCACCATACTGGTCTCGAACTCCTCAACCCACATGATCTGCCCACCTCAGCCTCCCAAAGTGCTGAGATTACAGGCGTGAGCCACTGTGCCTGGCTTGTTATACACGTTTTTATCACAATAAAAAATATACTTTAGGCCGGGTGTGGTAGCTCAAGCATGTAACCCCAGCACTTTGGGAGACCAAGGTGGGTGGATCACCTGAGGTCGGGAATTCGAGACCATCTTGGCCAATATGGTGAAACCCCATCTCTACTAAAAATACAAAAATTAGCCAGGCATGGTGGTGGGTGCCTGCAATCCCAGCTTCTCGGGAGGCTGAGGAAAAAGAATCACTTGAACCCAGGAAATGGAGGTTGCAGTGAGCTGAGATCAGACCACTGCACTCCAGCCTGGGCAAGAAAGGGAGATACTGTCTCAAAAAAAAAAAAAAAAAAAAAAAAAATATATATATATATATATATATATACACACACACACACACACACACACACACGTATACACACACATACATGTTTATATTATATATATATATAGAGAGAGAGAGAGAGAGAGAACCCATTTGGAGTGCAGTGGCACAATCTCGGCTCACTGCAACCTCCACTTCCCAGGTTCAAGCAATTCTCCTGACATATACAAACTGGGCCCTTTGGGATCAGTTATATATATTTATATAAATGAATGTAAATATGTTTATAGATATATTTTTTAGAACATACCTTTTACTTATAGTAAAAAGCCATTATACTGTCAATCCAAGGAGTTACATGCAAGGCTAAAAACAAGCTTGCAGTAGTTTGTAGGGAGCTACACCCAAGAGAGAAAACATTCAGAGACCGGTCTTCACTAACACATACCAAAAGCTTTTCCATGAAGCCTTAGAGAAGAAATAACTCGGGTTTTGGTAGTTTTTCACTTTTGGTGCTTTGGTACCTAAGGCTTAACATTAGGTGGAAATGCTCCTCGAGTATAACAAATACCACTCCACAACATCACTCTCTCTTACCATGTTGTCCTAGTGCAATTTATTTGACTATGAGTCCCTTTAGGGCGGATACTACAACTTAATAATCTGCCTATCACTTTTGTACCTAGCAGCCGTAGCAATGATAGCAATCTTGGGTCTGTCAATTCTTAAGCGCGCAAAAGTTGCAACATTAATCACAAAAGCGTTACAATACGGGCAAATCTTTCAGCTAACAACAGAAACGTCTCACTTCCTGAAAACTGAGCCCAAAGGCACCAAGTAGAAGAATGAAATTGAAATCAAGGAGAATAACTACACCGGCAAAGGCCATTAAGTGATATTCCGGGTTCCCGCCCGGGTCCGTGAGCGTGCCCCCGCCCTCCTCACCAAGTGTAGATCTGCAACTCGCTGGACGGTACGTTTCCCCGGGAGAACTCGTCCATTCGGTGGTGGCGGCCGTTATTGGTGGTGAAGACCCGCAGCAGCAGCGGGCATGTCTGAGGGACACAGAAAAGGGAAGGGCAGAAGTTAAAGACCCCAGCTGCGAGCCCGGACCTCACTTCCCCTCCCGAGGCGTCGCGGCCTCCCAGCCGCCCCACACCAGAAACACCGCCTCCTCCCGCACACAAGCCGCACCTCTGCACCCTGCCGGGCCCACCCCCAACCTCTTCCCGGACCCCAGAGCGGAAGGTCTCTTCACCTTCTCGCGGTCGATTGGCTTCTCTGGCTCCTTCTTAATTTCCTCCTGGGTAACGCGCGATTCCACCGCCATCTTCCTCCTACGGCCCGCGAGACGCTCGCCCTGACCTCCGACCCCTGCAGCGAGCATGAACACGAAGTCTCTCGCGAGGAGAAGCTCCCCGCTTTATATTCGGCCGGCGGCTGGGCGGGGCGTCTCCTGGCGCAGGCGCACTTCAGTGCGCGGCGCGTGAGCCCGGGCGCGCCTGCGTACTGCGACGTAGGGAAAAGGCGGGTGATGGCGACCGCGGGCAGACGCTGAAGGAGGGGCCTGAAGTCCGTCGCCGGGCAGTTTGTTGGCGAGGTGTCTTTTTCGCTTAAGTAGCCGCAGACGAAATAAGCGTTTTCACGCATATTGACGAAAACCTTATTGGACACAAAACGTTCCTTTATTAACAAAATCGAGATCTTTCTGATAAAAGAGCAGGCCCGCGATCCCGGCTGCTGGGAAGAGGCGCCGCCAGCCTGCGCGGGGGTGGAACGATCCTTCCAGCCACACACGGTTCGGGCGGCGCGTAGACCTGAGTGCGAGTAGCTCACCCAGAACTTGCAGGAAATAACGTTCTAGAATATCTTCAGGACCTGTGGGTGGGAATGTATGATACAAAAAGAATTAACGAGAAGCGATTGATTTGACCGGATTACGACCAAAAAAAAAAAAAAAAAAATCTAACCATGAAAATACATAACAACTCCATGATGAACCAAAAAGGCTAAGTACTGTATATGACTGAACTTACAAGTGAATCATCTTACGACTGAAAAGTGGGAAAAGCCACACTACATCATAAGAAGAAATGGCCACAGAGTGGGAGAGATTTGTTACACATATGATTGACAAAGGCTAGTATCCAGAATATATAGGAACTAAAAAGACAAGCCAATCGAAAAGTTGATAAAATTACTGAATAGGTGCTTTGGAAATGACAAAATCTATAGTCAACAAACTAGTAAGGTGCGCAATCGCATTAGTTTTAATTGGTTGGATTTTAAACCATGTCCACTAGATTGGCAAAAATTAGGAACTTTAGCAGGGCGTGGTGGCTCACGCCTGTAATCCCAGCATTTTGGGAAGTCGAGGCAGGCGAATCACTTGACCTCCTGACTCCTGACTTGAGGTCAGGAGTTCGAGACCAGCTTGGCCAACACGATGAGACCCTGTCTCTACTTATTAAAAAAAAAGAAAAAAAAAATTAGCCAAGTGTGGTGGCAGTTGTCGGTAATCCCAGCTACTTGGAAGGCTGAGGTAGTAGAATTGCTTGAACCCAGGAGGCAGAGGCAGTAGTGAGCGAAGATCGTTCCAATGCACTCCAGCAGCCTGAGCGACAGAGTGAGACTCCATCTCCAAAAAAAGAAAAACACGTCGGGGCATGGTGGCTCACCCCAGTAATCCCAGCACTTTGGGAGCCCAAGGCAGGTGGATCACTGTAAGTCAGGAGTTCCAGACCAGCCTAACCAACATGGTTAAGCCTCGTTGCTACTAAAAATACAAAATTAGCCCGCTCGTGGTGTCGCAAGCCTCTGATCTCAGCTACTTGGGAGGCTGAGGCAGGAGAATTGCTTGAACCCAGAAGGCAGGGGCTGCAGTGAGCCAAGATCACGCCATTGTACTCCAGCCTGGGCAACAAGAGCAAAACTCTGTCTCAAATGAAAACTAGGAACTCTGACAGTAATAAGTATTTGTAAACTACTAGGAATTCTCGCATACCGCTCACTGGTGACAATGTAAACTGGAACACCTGCTTTGGAAAGTAGTACCTACCCTAGAGGAAATCTTGCTCAACTCTATCCAGAGACATTACAAGAATGTTCTTAGCAATATTGTTCATGAGAACAAAAAGCTGGAAACAGCCCAAGTGGGGGTTCAGTAGGACAGTTCAGTGAATTGTGGTGTACTATACAGCAACACAACTACCAATCAACAATGGGATACTAAAAAGCAACACAAATCTACAAACTACAGTCATATGAAACAATGTGAATCTCACAAACATGATGGTAAATATAAGAAACCAAAGACAAAAATGTATATATTGGGTGAATTCGTTTTCATAACATTCAGAAGCAGGCAATACTAAAATATATTGTTCAGGAGAATTCCCAGGTGACAAAAATTATCAAGAAAATGGCAAAGTAATTATAATTATCAGAAAAGTCTGAGTAGTAATGACCTCTGAGTATAGAAGGGGATTGTGATAAGGGAGGAGCAAATGGAATGCTTCTAGTGGTGTTGGCAACATTGCATTTTTAAAAACCTAGGTGTTGGTTACATAGCTGTTTGAATTAAAATTAAAGAGTACATTTGGCCGGGAGTGGTGGCTCATGCATGTAATCCCAGCACTTTGAGAGGCTGAGGAAGGTGGATCACGAGGTCAGGAGTACAAGACCAGCCTGGCCTGCATGGTGAAACCCGTCTCTACTAAAAATGCAAAAAATTAGCTGGGCGTGGTGGCACGCTCCTGCAGTCCCAGCTACTTGGGAGGCTGAGGCAGGAGAATTGCTTGAACCTGGCAGGCAGAAGTTGCAGTGAGCCGAGATAACGCCGCTTCACCCCAGCCTGGGTGACACAGCGAGACTATCCCCCCCAAAAAAATAAAATAAAGAGTACATTGATGTTATTATTATTGTTGAGATGGTCTCACTCTGTCACCCAGATTGGAGTCCAGTGACACAATCATAACTAACTGTAGCCTCCATGTCCCGGCTCCAGCGATTCTCCCATCTCAGCCTCCTGGGTAGCTGGGACCACATAGCTGGGAACACAGGCGCAAGCCACCATGCCGGGTAAATTTTTGTATTTTTTGTAGAGACAAGGTTTCGCCATTTTGGCCAGACCACTCTCGAACTCTTGACCTCAATCTGTCCACCCACCTCAACCTCTCAAAGTGCTGGAATTACAGGCAAGAGCCACTGTGCCTGGCCCCATTTATTTTATTTTTAATGCACCCTTCTGTATTAATGCTATACATTGCTATTTTAAAAATACATAATTCAATAGAAAAATGGGCAAAAGACATGGATGGGCTGGGCACAATGGTTCATGCCTGTAACCTCAGCACTTTGGGAGGCCAAGGTGGGTGGACAGCTTGGGGTCAGGAGTTCGAGGCCAGCCTGGCCAGCATGTCAAAACCCTGTCTCTACTAAAAATGCAAAAATTATCTGATCATGGTGCCGGGTGCCTGTAATCCCAGCTACCCTGAAGGCTGAAGCAGGAGAATCACTTGAACCCAGAAAGCAGAGGTTGCAGTGAGCCGAGATTGCGCCACTGCACTCCAGTCTAAGCAACAGAGCAATAGTCTGTCTAAAAAAAAAAAAAAAAAAGGACAGGCATTTCATAGACGATTAAATAAAGGTAAACATATGAAAAGATACCTGACCTCATGAATAGTCATAGAAATGCAAAGTTAAACACAGTGGGATAACACTCACTCGACTAGATTGACCAAAATGTGAAAGTGTGGCAAGTAAGTGCTCGCAAGGATACGGAGAAAAGTAATTTGTATAGATTGCTCTCATCCACTTTAGAAAACTGATTGACATCACTGAGAAAGATTAGATATGTGTACACCTTAAGACTCAGCTATTTGGCCGGGCGCAGTGGCTCAAGCCTGTAATCCCAGCACTTTGGGAGGCCGAGGCAGGTGGATCACGAGGTCAAGAGATCGAGACCATCCTGGTCAACATGGTGAAACCCCGTCTCTACTAAAAATACAAAAAATTAGCTGGGCATGGTGGCGCGTGCCTGTAATCCCAGCTACTCAGGAGGCTGAGGCAGGAGAATTGCCTGAACCCAGGAGGCAGAGGTTGCGGTGAGCCGAGATTGCGTCATTGCACTCCCGCCTGGGTAACAAGAGCGAAACTCGGTCTCAAAAAAAAAAAAGACTCAGCTATTCTATTCCTTGTGTGTAGCTCAGAAAAACTGTTGGCCGTGAGCACAAGACAGAATTTTAAATAATGTTGTAACGTGTTTATTCATAATAACTAGAAACAATTCAACGATCTACCTAGAGTATATTCATAAAATGGAATACTATAAAGACTTGAAAGTAAGTAAATGAATCAGTACTCTTTCTTAAAAAATAAAAGCAAATCACAGAACCCATATGATAGGATTCAATTTATGCAAATTATTCAATTTTGGAGGAAAATAGGAGCCCCTTCACCTAAAAATACTGTTTAGGGAAACAAACATGAGTGGTAAAACTATAAAGAGAAGCAGGGGGGGCATAAACACTAAATGCAGTGTAGTGTTACCCCTGAGGATAAGCTTGGGTAATGCAATATATGAAGGGCATCCAGGGCTTCTAAGATACTGGTAATGTACTCTTTCGCACTAGGAAGAATGTGTTTTTTATTCTCTGCATTATAGCTATACATGTTAGAAACTCTTTTGTATGTGTGATTTAGAATACAGTCTTAACATTTTATTTATTTATTTATATACTTTTGAGACAGGGTCTGACTCTGCTGCCCAGGCTGAAATTCATTGGCACAATCTCAATCTCAGCTCACTGCAGCCTCCACTTCCTGGACTCAAGTGATGCTCCCACCTCATCTTCCCTTGTAGCTGGGACCACAGGCCGTACCACCACACCCGGCTAAATTTTTGTATTTTTTGTAGAAACGGGGTTTGCCACATTGTCCGACTGGTCTCGAACTCCTGAGCTCAAGCAATCCACCCGCCTTGGCCTCCGAAAGTGCTGGCATTACAGGCATGAGTAACCGCACCTGGCCATAAGAAATTTATTTTTCATTGGGCCTAGAATGGGCATGCATGCCATGCAGAATTGCATGCAGGCAATGTTTGTTTTTTTCAAAAGGATATTTAAATTTTCTCCCCAGTTCTATGATTCTAGTAATATATCATTTTTAAAAATTCTATTTTTCTGGCCAGGCACAGTGCCTCATACCTGTAATCCCAGCACTTTGGGAGGCTAAGGTGGGTGAATCACGAGGTCAAGAGATCAAGACCATCCTGGTCACATTGTGAAACCCCATCTCTACTAAAAATACAAAAATTAGCTGGGGTGTGGTGGTGCACACCTGTAGTCCCAGCTATTCGGGAGGCTGAGGCAGGAGAATTGTTTGAACATGGAAGGCAG